GAAAACTTTTGTCTACGGCAGTGTGCTTTGTAGAGAAGGTATTTGCAAAGTTTTCGGCTGTGCATCATAAGTGTTGTCTGTAAAGAACTCAAACGGTGACGAATAGATCTGTGCCAAGCTCACAGGAGGGGTTCAAGGAGTTACCCTCGGCTGCCCGCAGAACAGTCGTGCTGTGACTGTCCACACCTTTTCCCCAAAAAGCTTTGTCTTGCAGCTTCTTTCTTTAAAAGTCTTCTTTTTCTTCATACAGACCATTTCTCTAAAACCTCAGGGCCTGTTTACAAAGAAGTATCAACTTTGAGTTCATCTTAACAAAACTTTCCAAATTTGGTGTAGGAATTTAACCAGATTCCTCCTAATTTAAAAGGAAAGGGCACTTTCTGCGATACTTTGTCTCCAACATATTTTTGGATCCTACTACCCATTGCCTGAACTTTTAGGATTGACAACAGCTAAGTAAATATGTACTGAACTCTCAGAATACTGCTTTTATAGCCAGAGAGCAGGTCTCACCTATAAATGAAGAACCAAGTGTTTTTTCCCCAAATTTTGGGATGCCGTTTTATCTGTTTGGGGCCCAGTAATCTACACCTTTGCTAATGACAGCTGCTCTGTCCTGATGACCGTCACGGAAGCCACAGCACAGAGTAGCCTTTGCCTGTTGAGACAACTGGCTATTCCCCAAGTGCTACGTTACCCTGAGGGTGGGGCTCAGAGTCATGGAAAGCCTCTGACGACCCCTGCCACAGGTGGTTTTGTGCTCAGGTGGGGGACAGCTTCCTCCTCCGGCCACGCCCGGCTCCTGGAGGTGCTTTCTCAGAGCAGCTTCCGGGCCTTGGTTTTCCACTCAGCAGTCTGAGAGTTTGCCCACGTGCCTTTAAGAAATGCCAGTGCTCATATTTGTCAGATTTCCTTCGCATAAAAATGTGACCTGTATGTTGTGGAAGTAATTGCTCTTCAGACTTGTCTATAGCCAATTTGGTGAATGAAAGGCTGTGTGATTATTTTTGTCTTTTATAGTCATTAACAATGCAGCGACTACAAACTTAGTTTCTATCCAGGCTGATTGGGACCACACAGAACTATAAACAGAAACCTTCCTATCCTATCTGTTCTTTGCTTTGGCGACATGGCAACTAAAGAAGGGTTTGGTGGGGATCAGCCCCTCTTGTGAACTTTGCACAGATCCACTCCAAGTCATTTTCATGAAGCAGCAGGTGAACTTGTGTTACGTTAACGCGGTGAAGCTGACCAAGTTCCTTCTGATGTGTTGTTTCTCTCTCTCTCTCTCTCTCTCTCTCTTTCCCCTTTGTCCCCTTGAATTTGCACACGAAGCTTTCTCTCAAGCTGGTAAGCACAATTGTTCCCTGCATGTCCCGAGTCTAACCAGGTTTCCCGCTGTGTGTTTTGTGGGTCCCCGCCATGTGCAACCTGTCTTTACAGTCACCTGCTGACTTGTGTTTCTCTCGTGTGTGCTTCTGGCTCTTCCTTTCTCAGACCTTTGAAACACAAAGGTTGGCAATCTAATAGATCTTAATCCTTTCACGTTGCTAAGAAAATTAACGCTTAACTCATGATTTCGGTGTTTTGGTTTACTGTTGGGGCTTTAAGAGGATGACAAATGATGAACTTTATTTAAATATGAACATTGAGTACTGGGGAGTTTATTTATTGGATCCTTTAAAATAAAAGTAAACGTAATTATTGTAAGATGCTCCTTCCTGAGAGCCACAGAGCCAGTGACAAGCGCTGAGAGCCTGGGGGACCGTGCAGGGATGATGCCGTCCCAGACGCCGGCCTGAGACAGCCCGCGAGGACAGAAACCATGGCATCTCTAAGGTGCTACTTAAATCCCTTGGTGCCTTGTGCTTGGCTGATTTGAGGAATCACAAGATGATTTATGGATAGTGAAAAGAGCCTCCTAAGCCTTTCCAAAATGATTGGTTAGTGTTCGTGCTCCTTCTACTCAGTTGCATTGCCCTAGTAAACAAACTAATCATCACATGTATTAAAAGGAAATCTTAACCAACATAACCCACAGCCCTACTTCAGGTGTGCGTAAGTTACATAGTATTCTCAAACACGGCAGCTGAGAATGTCGTGACACTGTGGACAGCAGTGAATGGTGACAGCTCAGCCAGGAACAAGATGACTAGCTGACACCCTGCTGTTGAAGCATGAGATACTATTTCACAGTCATTCTTAGGCACACGTGTGTAAGTGTATATACATCCACGTATGCTCAGAATGTTTTCAACCTGACTCAGTATTTGGCAACTGACCCAACCCTAAAGAAAATGACTATTTTATTAAATCAAACATTTCTTAGACTGAGATAAAAATCTTGAGACGAATCCTTGATTCAGGACAAGAAGGAGAGATCTGATGCTCACATGACCCGCATTGCTCAGCAGTGTGAACGTGGGAGGAACGGACCAGTGAACGAGGCATCTCGCAGGTGCCCGGGGTTCTTGACTGCCTCATTTGTTCTTTCGCTGAAGTGAGCAGCAAAAGATAACATTAGGTGTTCTTTCTGATTTGCGACAGGAATCATTTTACCAGCCTGGTATGGAATCATTGCTTTAGAACATTACTTTGAAGCTAATAAAGAAATGAGTGTCACCCAAATGTGGCTTGGGTGTCAAAATCGTAAATCTCAGGAAGCAGCTTGTTCTTGTGCTGTTTGGGGGGAATTACTCAGGAGCAAGTGTTTGACTCTAGAAGCTATAAAACAGGATTCTCCTAGGGCCACAGCCATTTGAAATACACTTATATGTGTGTGGCCCCTCCTTCCAAGACCAGTGCCACCTGGTTCTCTGTACTCCAGGGTGCTCCAAAGATTGCAAGACATCTTTGCTGACTCAAAGCTATGAATATAAATTCCTTCATGGCAAAATGAATCATAGGTCAGAGTATTGTTTAAAGGAATTCAAGCTTCAAAAGGCTAATTGGACAAAATGACCTGTTAAGGTATTCCCAGGAACCCTACGTTTTTTGGATCTAGAAGAAGCTGCTGGCCTGACCCTCCGTGGCCACGTAAAGCTTGTTAAGCCATAGTTACTGAGACTCGTTTTTAAATAGCAACATGGAAACATGGGCCCTCTATTGAGAGGAACCTAATGCATCCCTTAGACGGACTCCTGGTCCACGGGCACACTTCACGGGTTCGTTATTGAAAGACACGGGCACAGTGTGCTTTTGCTTACACAGTTCTTTGCAGCTGTTTTTCCATCCAGGCAAATCGTACACCTGTTCAGTCTAGACCTGTGTCTCCAACACGGTAGCCACTCACCACATGGGGCTGTTGAAATCTTAGCTGATTCAAATTAAGTAAAATTTTAAAGTTCAGGTTCACAGCTGCACGGCCACTCTCCACATGCTCAGCGGCCACGAGCGGCTGCTCTCTGGGGCAGCGCAGACATCGGCCGTTCCTGTCCTTGCAGAAAGTTCTTTTTCTTTCGGATTCAGCGCATAGTAAGGCTCATAAATATCAGTGACCTCACTCAGACCGCCTGCTAGATTTCCCGACTCCTGACGCAGTGGCTCTCACACGGTGTTTTGCTGCCTGCAGAAGCCAGGACAATGCAGAACAGAACCTCGGTTCTAGAACACACACTGATCTGTCTCGCATAGATTGAGCCTGAGAGCAGACCACTGAGCTCTGTGGTGGAATTGCAGATTGGAAAGCACGTAGTCAAGGTTTCAAGTACCATAACATAATGGTACACGGAAGAGAAAAACGCCGGATTTGTTTTTATGTTGAAGATGGGTTTGCTTCATTTTAGCTCTAGAGGCAAATTGAATCTCCATGTTCTGGCATCAGGGAAAAGTCACTCCCATGCTGGCTTCTTACCCACATCTCGTTTCTTCCCACTCAAGCACACACGCACATCTGGGGGAACATTAGCCTTTATGTGGCCCTGGTGCTAAGCTATCTGCTGAATCACACACTCCCAGCCCAGCAGCCTGGCATTCCACCGGACACAGCCTGGAAGCCTCGGGCACAAGCCCCGTGCCAGCGGCTCGGCAGACCCAGCTTGCCTTGGGAATGGCATCGTCCCAGCCCCTTTCCCACCCCCTCCCCAAGCCAGCCCTGCCATTGTCGAATTGGCTCCAAGGAAAACTTCTTGTCGAAATGCCCTGGCTTATCCCCGGTTATCAGGTCAACTTCTCTTTTCTTTATGAAAATGGCCTCATTTAAGTAGAAGCGCTGATCACCACCACGGAGCTTCTGACACGCGGACACGTGGAAGCTGAGACACTCCCTGTCGCTATTCCCTGCTTCAGTCGCACACACAGAGGAAAGACAGGCATTGTTTTCAAAAGGGAATGAAGATACCCAAATACAGTCCCGAGGGACAGAGAGCCGCACACTGTGGGGAGCTGTTTCTGAGGTCGGGGAGGGCGTCCCGTGTGAATCTTCCGAGATGACACTAAAGATGTCACAAAGAAGTGTCCAGACGCAGTCAGCAGACTGAAGAGTGCATGGGGGCGGGGTCCGTTCTGTAGACGTCCTTTCGCCCAGTTCTCCGAGAAGCGAGGTGTCCTGGGCCTGTGTGCCGAGAAGGGAAGGAATACTCAGACTGGGGAGCCCGTGGAAGAGTCGTTGGGCACTCAGCCCTGCTCTCTGTGAGGAAAACTCAAACTTAAAACCTCAGTGTTGCCACCAACACTGAGAGTAAAGTGAAGAATCTGTCTCAACATTTGGTTTTGATTCTCCCCGGAGTCAGAAGTATTTCTTCCCTCTCCCCTCCCTGCAGCATCGCTCTTGCCTTTCGGGAGGCGGCCGGGCAGCCTCCATGGGGCACGGTGGTTTGGGACTAGTTTGCATGCACTGATTCTGCTGCCCAGCTGGTGCCGTGGGGAAGGGCTGGGCTCACTTCACGGACGCGCAGCCGCCTGCACCTCGAGCCTGGGAACTCTGTCCTGCAGGCCTGCCCCGTCTGTCTTCGAGGAGCCCCACAAGGCTTGTTCTCGCTTATTTCTGTTTACACCTGCAGGGTGCAGCGCCCGAGGATTTCAGCAACCTCCCACCTGAGCAGAGAAGGAAAAAGCTCCAACAGAAAGTCGATGAACTAAATAAAGAAATTCAAAAGGAGATGGATCAAAGGTAGAGTGGATCAATATGAGTCATTAAAAAATTCGAGTTCGGCCCGACCGGTGTGGCTCAGGGGTTGAGTGTCAACCTATGCACCAAGAGGTCGCTGGTTCAATTCCTGGTCAGGGCACATGCCCAGGTTGTGGGCCTGATCCCGGGGCGGGGGGGGGGGGCATGCAGGAGGCGGCCAATCGATGTTCTCTCTCATCAATGTTTTGATCCCTCTTCCCCTCTCCCTTCCTTTCTCTCTCAAATCATTAAAGGAAACAAAATTTTTTTAAAAAAAGAAATCCGAGCCCTGGCCGGTTTGGCTCAGCGGTTAGAGCGTTGGCCTGCGGTCCAGAGAGACCCGGGTTCGGTTCCCGCTAAGGGCATGTACCTCGGTTGCAGTTTGTTCCCGGCCCTGGCTGGTCGTGCGGGTGGCAGCCACTCGATGTGTCCCTTTCACGTCGATGTTTCTCTCTCTCTCTTCCTCTCCCTCCCTCCCACTCTATCTTAATAAAAAAGTGGAAAAATATCCTCGAGTGAGGATAAAAAATAAATTAATAATAATAATAATAATAAAGAGAAATCCGAGCCCTGGCCAGCAGTTTGGCTCAGCAGTTAGAGCGTCAGCCCGCGGGTCCCGGGTTTGGTTCCCCCCAAGGGCACGTATCTCAGTTGCAGTTTGTCCCCGGCCCCAGTTGGGGTTGTGTGGGTGGCAGCCACTCGATGTGTCTCTCTCACATCGATGTTCCCCTCCCCCCCCCCTTTCCGCTCTATTTGAAGATAAATGCAAAAATGTCCTAGGGTGAGGATTAAAAAAAAAATTTAAAAAAAGAAATTTGAATTTGGGTTGGAAAGCCAGGAACCTAACCTAGATTTTAATGGAAGTGTTTATTTCAGCCACATGTTGTGTCCAAGGCGGAACATGGATTGCTTTATTACAGACTGGGAGAATTCATTAGGTTTTATTCTGAGTTTGAGGGACAAAACACCTGGGACTGTCTTCATCATGAGTGCGTAGGTGAGTTTTGTTGTTTGTTTGGTGAACATGAGGATGAGAAAAGTAGCCTGATCCCACCGTCCCCCCCACATCGCAGCTTTGGGTCCAGCATGTCTTTGCCTTTCTCCTCTACCATGTGTCACAGTCTGCCTTCCCACGCCGCCTTGTCTTCTCATAGAGAGCATCGATGGTGTCTAGAGAGCAAACCCGTGTCTCATACACACCCCAGCCCTCCGCGGTGTCGGTGTGACCTTGCTGCGGAGGAAGGGCTGCTCCAGGCTCCCCCTGTCAGGGCTCCCCGTGTTCTGAGCTGCTTTGTGAGTTTGCTCCTGGGGATGGTACGTTGCTGCACAGGGGACAAGTTGGGAAAGATTTGATGTCTCTTCATCCGCACACATTTGTAACCAGTGATACGTCCACATCCCTCGGGGGTACTTGGTCACAGTCCATCTATTGGAGATTTGAACTTGAGATCGTCTAAAAGGTGACTTGAGATTTTGTGCTCTCTAGGTAGGCCACAGGCCGAGCCTGCGTAAATTTGGCCATGTTGAAGCTGGGTTAAAACGTGGTTGTGCTAAAACAAGCAAACGGGTTGTGAGGCAGTGCGGTTTCAGTTCGCGCAGAAGGAAACCCGCTTCTCATTCTTTCACCTGTTAGAGCATCTCCTAAAACATGGGTCATTTTAGAAACATTGTTGCAGTGAATAAGAAAATGGAACACATTAATTAACTTTGTTCTAGATTAGAATATACTTCATGAAATGAAAATGTTGTCTCTGTCCTTTTTATTACATGTGGGACCAACTAAGAAAGGTTTATAAATATACAAACCAATCAAACCTCTTGCTGTTTAATAAGTGAGTGGTTATACTTTGTACGGGAGTGAGGGGTCAGGACTCAAGACTCTGAAATGACATAGGGTGTTGACAGGCCCTCATTGACCAGTACCATGGAGAAAGGTTTCTCTGTCACCTGGGTCGTGGCCATGGACCCTGGGTAACCGTTTAGCCCCATGGCAGCCCTTGCTGGTGAGAAAGCAGGTCCATTCAGCTCTTCGCTTAGTGACGGACGGTTCATTGAGCGTTCACTGTGTACAGGAAATATTCTAGGCACTGAGGAAAACGCAGGGAACAAAACACAAACACCTCTGTTCTCATGCGACTTACATTTTGTGCAGAATACATTATTTTGAGCGAAGCTGACATTATTTGGAAAAGGTTCTTTTTGTTTTTGTTTTTTTAATAGTCAATCCAAAACGACAAGGAAGGAGAGAAAAGACACATGAGTAGGCAGGACAGATGAAAGGCACACATCTGGGTGGTAGGTGTGAAAGACCAGATGCTCCAGGCACCCTGGGTTCTGAGCCCCGTTCCGCTGCGTGCTTCAGACAAGCGCCGTGGCCTCGTGGGACTCAGTTTTCTCGTCTTTAGAAGGGAGTTAATGCGCCTGTTGTGTGAGGAGTGAAATGTCCGTGTGTGTAAAGTGCTGAGAACCACGCTGGCATGCAAGTGTTTGTAAAGTGAACCAGTATGTTAAATGTAAAGAGACCTTCTGGTTCCAATTAAAAGAGACTTTCAGACTGGACAAAACCGTCCACCTGTGTGCTGGCTGCAAAAGACACGCCTAACTCATAGCCTATGAGAAGGGTGGAAGTTAAAGCGTGGAAAATACGTGCGGTGCAAATGCCAACCAAGAGAAAACTGGTGTGGCCAGACTGACTGCTAGGCCCACCCTGTGAACTGCTCCACTCAAGGGGTCAACTTCATAATAACAAATGATTCAAATAACAAGTGGTTCAGTTCACCGAGGAGATATAAAATGTTATTTTTTATTTTTTGTTTTGTTTGAATTTATTTTTGTTACAGATGTTTCTCCTTTTTCCCCCATCAGATACAAAATATTAAATCTGTAAGGCCATAGTAGCATAACCTTAAAATATAAAAAGGATATTTGAATAATATAAGTCATAAAACTGACCTGATACACACATATCCAATTACTGCATGATACATAGTATTTTCAGGCACACACAGAACACTCCAAAAAGTGAGCCTATCCTGGTTTTATAATGCAAATCTCGACGAACATCCAGGAGAGATACCATTCAAGGTATGATCTCTGAAGCCCCAGCAAAGCTGGAGACCAGTCACGGAAATTCAGAAATTCAGAAATGTCACTCTGCACTCAGACTGAAGAAGGGCTCATAACCTGTGAATCAGAACTGAACCTTAACACACATCCTCCATACCCGTTTCCGGGGTGCCACTAGAGCCCTGGTGGAGAATGGCACTCAGAGCTTCCGACACACATTCAAAGCAAACCACCCTGAAAACCAGCAAGCACCTCTTGAGTTTTGCTGAGAAATAGGGCAGCGCTGGAGGTGTAGGCCAGGAAGCGAGGGGGGCGATTTCGTGAAGGTGGGCGACGTCACGGTTGTAAGCACATGGGTTCATCTAACGAACGTTCATTGAGTACCTGCTGTGTGCCAGGCGTTGTCCTGCCCCTGGGACTGTGTCGTGGGAACAAAGAATCTGAGTCCACCCAGCTTTGGAGGGCTTCCATTCTGGTAGGAAGAGACAGGCAGTAAACGGTCGCATAATCGTAGACTGTAATTTGGAAATGTACATGCTATGAAGAAAAAGGAAGCAGAGGCACGGAGGGCTGGCCGTGCAGATGGGTCGAACCCCGGGCAGGCGGCCTCAGGGAGGGGCTGGCAGGATGTCCGCGCTGAGAGTTAGAGCGGCGGTGAGGACCTGTGGAGATCCTCTTCCTGTGCGCTCTGTGTTTTCAGTTGAACTCTTTCCCATGACTCACTCTGGTGTGGCTTGTTGGTCTTGTTGCGTCATTGGCTTAGATCTTTTGCTACAGCTCGTGGAGGTTGGTGGAATCATTTGCTCTAAACTTTTAACAACTCCAACCCTATGGAAAGTTGCTCGAAGCCAGAGTCCAAGTTCCTAGAGCTCACTGGTGCTGGAGAGAATCCTGAGCACTCCTGGGGTCTCCAGGGGTTCCTCACTTGGGCTGCTGTGGACGGGCTCCCAAAACACCATCTCAGGAAGGGGTGGGCTCTTGCCGCGTGTGGCTCTGCGGCTCTGCTGCCCACCTGTCACGGATACCAACTGTGGGTTCCATTTCTTAGTAGTTGAAATAGTGTGTGCAGACCTTTCCAAAGCAGTTAACTGTGCTTCTTCATGAACTGAACACTGCCGCTCACAGGGCCCGAGATGCCAGTGGAAGCTTTGGCTTGCACGGATGTTTTCTTGGTGGGGGCTAGGGAGGGTCAGGATTGATTGATGTTACTCACTAAACACAGTGGGGCTGTCCCATTTCGCAAAGGCAATTGAAGTTTTTTGTTTGTTTTGTTGTTACTAATCTTCACCTGAGGATATTTTTCCATTGATTTTTAGATAGAGTGGAAGGGAAGGAGGGTGAGAGAGAGAGAGAGAAGCATTGATGTGAGAGAGACACATTGATTGGTTGCCTCCAGCATAACCTCGACCAGGGCCAGGATCGAACCTACAATCCAGGTACGTGCCCTAAGACCCTTTGGTCCAAGGGCCAACACACTAACCACCAAGACAACCCGGCCAGGGCAATTGAAGTTTTAATATCCGTCTCTAGATGATATAGACCTTGGGTTCCTGAGGCGTTTTAGAAGAGCACCGACCCCCGTATGCCCTTCCAGTCCACACTCGGATGCATCCTCCCAGCCACACGGTCTCCAGGGCGATAGACTGTAACTGGCTGGTGACATCAACCTCTCCCACATTCTGCTCGTTCTTTTTTCCAGAGAGGCCATAACGAAGATGAAAGATGTTTACCTAAAGAATCCTCAGATGGGAGACCCAGCCAGTTTGGACCACAAATTAACAGAAGTCAGCCAAAATATAGAAAAGCTGCGACTAGAGGCCCAGAAATTTGAGGTATGAAAAAGCTGTTGTTGGGGGCGAGGGAGAAGCAGAAGGGATTGGTGTCATGAGGCGGCTACAGTCACAGAACCCAGCATTTTTCACTGGGACAGTTACAGAAGGGAACGTCGGGGTGTCACAAGCTGTGAAAAGGAAGAACACCGTCATCCTTGAAAGACCTGCTTTTCAGCATTTCCTCTTCATTGTGTCCCTTCGAATTGGCACCCTTGAAAGTTTCGTTTATTTGGATACAGTATTGTTGTTTTTTAATTTTAGTGTTTGATTTAAGTTTGTTCTGCGACATCGCTCGTTGACACAGTGTTATTGGGGATGTATCAGCCATGGTCTCGGAGAATCAAAAGGGCAATTAGATTGGACATGTTCCTTCAGAAGACCCTGTCTCCAGAGGTCATAGATGCGACAACCACAGGGAATACAAATGAGTAGGAAACACGCCTCTGAGAACACCTCGATGATGTTTTAGAGAAGGAACACTCAGATGCTATGGGCAAAAGCCTTCGTTGTTGTTGTTTTGTTTTGTTTTTGTTTCTGTTTTTACCCCCAAATTCAAAGACCTCACAGCATGGAAAAATTCATTAAGTAATGATCATTCCCTTCAGACTAGGTTATGTCTACCAATGAGGGTCAAATCGAGCTTTTGTATTATTTGTAGAATCTGTCAATGAGTCGTGAATGTTTGAGTTTTCAGAACCTAGAACTGTCCTCTTCTGATCATTTGTATTCTTTTGCCTTTTGAACAGTGTAACTAGTCACGCTGAATAGTGTAACTAGTTCAAATGTTACTGAAGGTCATTTTATCTCCTTTGATGTCCTACGTATAAGTTTCTTCACTGTGAAAAAAGTTACACTCCTAAAAAATAAAAAAAAAATAGAAAAGGGAAGTGCAGCTTTCAAACTGAGTCACTGCTCAATGTGGCAGCACCCTCCTGTTTCCCAGTGTGACCTCATGGTCCCAGATGTTTGGGAACCAGAAGGAACTAGAAGTGACCTTTCCCAAATCACACTATTTGTTTAATGCCCAAACAGTCCGCACAGTCCGGTGTCCCTCCTGCCCCACTCGAGCGGCTGCCTAAGTATGCTCACTTCCACTGCTCCCGCTCGGAGTGCGTTGACACAGTCGAGTGCAGAAACGCTGCAGACCTGCCCACCCGTGGTCCTTCTCCAATCGGCTTCAGTGACCAAGAGCAGCCCGAATGGGGGCTTTCAGACTCTGGGGGGCCCTCAGCTGAGCTCAGGCCCGATCTCGCGCCTTGTTTCCAGGCCTGGCTGGCGGAGGTGGAAGGCCGGCTCCCGGCTCGCAGCGAGCAGGCCCGCAGGCAGAGCGGACTGTACGACGCCCAGACTGCCCCGACCGTCAACAACTGCGCGCAGGCTCGGGAGAGGTACAGTATCGGCACAGCCCTGCCCCCGGCCAGCGAGCTGCTTTGCTTCTGCCTCTCAATTCTGGAGTCAGGGAGCGAGCGTAAAGCACAGAGACCATGTCTGCGATGATGGACCTGTGGTTCCCCACAGCTGGTTGGACTCCACACGGGATACAGGGCGGTGGGAGATGGTCCTGGTGACCGCACTTGGCCCTCCCGGGGCCGGTGTCCTGTCTGGGGTCGGTTGCTATAGTTGCTGTGTGTCTTCCTTTCTTGAGCAGCCCGGATGGCAGTTACACGGAGGAGCAGAGCCAGGAGAGTGAGGTGAAGGTGCTGGCCACGGATTTCGACGACGAGTTCGACGACGAGGAGCCCCTGCCTGCCATCGGGACTTGCAAAGCTCTCTACACGTTCGACGGTAACGCTCCCAGCCGGCGCCCCCGCCGTCCGCAGACTCTCCTGAAGGCCGCCAGATCTTTCTCCTGTTGCTCCTTTATTCCGCTGCTGGAGTTTATTACCCCTGTTAGGTTGATGGCTGTATATTTTGCCTTTTAATCCATATATGTTTTTATTGATTTCAGAGACAGGGAGAGAGAGAAACATCGATCCGCTACCTCCTACACGTCCCCTACTGGGGATCAAGCCCAAAACCTGGGGTGTGCCCTGACCAGGGATTGAACCAATGACCTCCTGGTGCATGGGCCAACACCCAGCCAGCTGAGCCACACTGCTGGGCTGGTCCATATAATTTAAGAACTTTCACTGAGCTTAATTGCAGCAGAAAGACTGGCATAATGATTATTTCATGCATTCACTCCGTGTTTATAGAACTGCTGTCTTGAGAAGGCTTCCGGAGGGGTGGGATGCAGGCAGTGTGGTGGGCGTCCAGCCTGGAGAAACCAGCAGGCCTGTGTCTAGGAGAGGCGGCTTTGGTATCCGGGGGGCACAGACTAATGGGGAGTCCCGGGAGGCCCACGCACTTCCTCCAGGGAGTTTGGAGAACTCTGAGCCACAGTGCATCAGAGGCATGGGGTTCGTGTGGCTGAGCTCGGGTTCTTCCGGGATCGCAGCAGAATGTATGACTAGGAAACCAAAAAAAATAAAATAAATGAAAAAGACTGGGAAACAGGCGATGCGCCTGGTGAGGAGTGAGAGACACATCTGGTCCTATTTAGCGAACACTGAGGCCGTGCGGAAGGTATTTGAGCGAAGTCCAGAGCCAGTCTGAGCTGTGCTTTGGGACGTGTATTGTCATGTGTAGGAGCAATTAGAAAATAGGGACAGTGGGTGGAGGGTGAGCGATGGGTGAAGTGATGGACCCCACAGCGCCTGTGGCATGGGACCAAGGGCCGTGGAAGCAGCAGTCCGAGCACAGATACACTGGGGAAGCCCAGGGGAGTGACTTTTCATTGTGACAGAACAAGTCAGAGAAGGACCAGGTTAAACGTTCCCAATTTTACTTCATATCTAAACCATCCCCTCCCCCCACGTGCCCCCACCCTGTTGACAGCTCCCTAAACAAGCGGCCTGTTAGAACCCTGTGTGGGCAGTGGTGGCCAGTCTTGTGAAACCATCTTAGCAAATGGCCTTGGGAGCCTTGATTGAGGGGTGGACACAGAGATGCTGCAGTCAGCACCCTGCTTGGGCTCTCTGCTGCTTGCCAGTGGGAACAGAGCAGGAAGGGAATCAGATGGGTCATCCCAGGACACAGGAGATGTCCATTGAAATGGGAAGGGCAGAGAAGGGTCTAGGAAGAGGGAACAGCCATGACCCAGGCCCACCCGCGTTGTTCCAGGTGTCAGGACATCGCAGGGGGCAGACGTGCTCCGGCAGAGGAGAGGGAGCCTTAGCTCAGAAAAGAGCCAGACTGGAGAAAGCGAGGTGGGGGAGGGGTGCTGAAAGCCACAGGAGTCCTTTTACCCTGAGGGGGGAGTGGAGAGGGAGAGGGGGAGTCGGAGAGAGGACCAAAGGTTTCCCCTGGGGAAGATGCCTGCTGCTCTAGAGAGGGGGTGAGGACCGGAAGTCCTCCCCTTGTGGGGGCGGCAGTGCCTCTGAGTACCCAGTCCGCTCTTCCCACGCCTGTTTCATTGCAAAGCTCTCCGTTTGCTCCGAAACCTAATCTGTTCTGATACGTTTTCAGGTCAGAATGAAGGAACCATTTCTGTAGTTGAAGGAGAAACGCTGTATGTCATAGAGGAAGACAAAGGTGACGGGTGGACCCGCATTCGGAGAAATGAAGACGAGGAGGGCTATGTCCCCACATCATACGTCGAAGTCTATTTGGACAAAAATGCCAAAGGTGCTAAGACTTATATTTAATACAACTTAAAAAAAAAAAACTTTTAAAAAAACATTGGAGTTGTTTCTCCCCACAACTGTGACTGTTACAGGCAGTTCGTCAAAAGACTGGATGGAGAGCACGCAGTGCCCGTGTCCTCAGAGCCCCCAGTGGACGCTAGGGACCTCACACCGAACGTCCTGGGCTAGTTTTGACTATTCCCGAGTTCCGCTCGCTGGTGACTTCTATGTGGACAGCTGCCAACTGCCAATTTACAGCTGTGTCATTTGAAATCTGATAAACACTTCTGGCAGCATCTGTAGCTCACAACAAAAAGGTTGCCTTCTAGCTTCTAGTCAGTATTTCCAAAGTTCAGAGTCCACACGCATCCCGGGGCTGCGGCAGCCCCCGTTCTGTTTGTATCTAGTCTCTGCCACAAGTTGAACTACCACAGAAGGTTACATTCTGTAACAGTCAAGTGAACTAGGCTAGTTTGTTCAATTTTGCAATCATTCACTTTGGAGGAAGTCATCAATAGAAGCTCCCCCTTCTTGAGTCAAGAAGCAAATAAGATTCTTTTACTGGTACCAAAAGTGTGTGTTTTTACCGAAACCTGGTGGAGGTCATTGTTAGATCATCGAGATCATCCTAGTAAGTCTGTTTGACTCCAAACAACCAGTGGAAATCTGGAAAAGTTTGGTCATTTACCCAGTTGCTTTTTACACATGACTATCGATCTCCCCAATGACAGTTGACAGAGTTGATCAGATTTGAAAGCGCCGTTTAGACAGACTTGTGTGTACAAATAGCACTTTGCTCTGTTCTGTTCTGTTGGAAGTTTTGTGGCACATGGGGCTGTATTCAGCTAACCTTTCCTCCGTGGGGCAGACCCAGAACGTGACTTTTCAAAGCAGAGATTAAACAAAAAATCGTTGGCATCTTTAAGCCCCAGAGTGAGTGACTGGGAAATCGTTTTAAAATTGCTAGCTGGTTTCATATAATCAACTGTAACCAGAATGAAGCACAATGTTTCACCATCTTTAAGGGAAACTGGGTCACATGGGCATTTACGTGGAAGTTGGCAGGACAGGTAGTGAAATTGTCACATGCACAGGTGGGTACCAAGCCCAGTGCTTGTGCCCAGTTCAAGAATCTACCCTGAGATTATGGAGAAACAGCTGTAAATGGGTCAGAATGAAGGTGTCAGGTTGAGATTCTCTTTTTATTTGGCTTTGAAAATTATTTGTGTCTTCCTGCTTTTCAATGGGAAATGAACTCCTTGGCTGTACACGGTGGGCCCCTTTTATACGTTCCCATCCATTTGGAGCTGATTCTTAAAGCGACAGCAGCACACCGGGGGCCTAGGACCCTGTGGGAGGGGTGACGCTTGTAGAGAATCCAGCAGGAAGCTCGCTGCCACTTCTCAGAGGCCCCCAGATGGAGCCCATAGCCACTGGCTAATGACAGCCCGGTTTTTAAAAATGCTTTTTATGTTCAAGTACAGAATCTGAGGGACTTGCAGAGATAGTGCAGAGAGATCCGGGTCCCCTTCACCCCGCGTCCTCCCAGTGTTACATCTGACACAATCGGAATCCAGTATCCAAAGCAGGAAGCCGATGGGTCTGCCTGATCTTTTACATAGAATTTTGTAATTCAAATTTCTTCCAAATGACCATAGCACCTTTGCTGACATAATATCGATAAAGCCACTCAGCCTGAGACCAGACCTCTCGGGGGGGTCGTTCTGTCCCTTTCTTAGTTTGGCAGCAAGAAAACCAGCTGCTCATTAGACCACAGGGCTGCAGCTCAAGGAGCAACTGGGTGGGGGGGGCAAGCTTTAGGTCTGTAACCTCATTTCCAGGCGATGAGCTACTGGAGAAAGCAAACTAAACATTGAGAAAGTCTTAACATGTGGCCAGACAACATGGGCCCTTGAAAGCCTGCCTTGAAGCAAAGGGCTTCCGTGAAGTGTTCTTTGTTTTTTGTTTTCCCTTTGGCGTGTGCAAATTTGGTTCAGGAAACAGCTCACTTGGTTTCCTGGGTGGTTTGGGTGCGTCAGTTACAATGATTAAGTTGTGCCCTCGGCACCTGTAGTGCAAGAATCCATGTCCTTTGACTCAGTGGTGACACTTTATGGTTTCGGGTCACTGAAACAATTCCCAGAGAATCAGGAACTTCCCTTTCCGCCCAGAGTATTTTTTGTTCTCTTCCCTGGTTATCTGTTCAAATAAAAGCAGCAAAGTCTCAGCTTGTTTCATCAAGTTTTCTCCTTTTATTTTAGAGCTACCCTTCTAGGTTACCAATGTGTACGGAAGCCCTTCCCTCCTGAGTTCATAGACCCGCACAGCCTCCCCCACCGACACTGCCCGCCTTGCACCCACCCCGCCACACACCCGGCCGGCCGGCGGGGGGCCGGCGGGGTTGCCCCTTCCGCTTGCAGTCTTGCCCGTGCCCTTGTGCGTGTGTGGTGTCTACAATGTGACTCTCTAAAGATTGCCAAAATATTAGGCTAGAGGGCCTCCCTCCCAGCTGGCCCCCTGGGCTGCGACCGTGTCGGTGGTGGTGGTGTTGGAGTCGCTTTCTGTTCGGTGTGTCCCTAAGCCCTTCCCGGTACATTTGTATATACTGCCATTCAGAAACTAAAGATGACTTGAATTTGTTGTTTTAACGTTTTACTCTTATCTGTTTGTTTTATTGGTGATTCTGCTGCCTGATGACCTTTTTGTTTTTGTGACCACTGGGGAAGCTGGAAGGACTGCTCCCCAGGTAGCTAGGGTCCTGCCGGCTGCTCCACACTTGAGTTTATTATAGACACTTGGGTTCTGAGTAAGTTTTGTTTGAAGATGGCCAACAAGATTGCTTCTCTCTCTTCTCACCCTGAAAGAAAAGAATCTGTCTGACACCTCTTAGTTGTACCCTCCTACCTGCCTCTCTAATAAACGTTGTCTTTTTCTCAGTGTTGTCAAGTGATTTGTCACCTTTCTGAGACAATGACTCTGCATTCTGAGTATTTAACTCCTTCGCCTTCAGTAATGGGGTATCTTCTAGCCACTTGCTTTTTAAAAATTCTGCCGTTCCCCCCTTTTACCTGATCACACCTTCCGTTTCTGCCCTGCGTGCACCTGGGGCTTCAAGAGTCTGTCTCTGGTTCTCTGGTTCTCTGTCCCACCCCCCAAGATGAAGAACTTTCACTGTTTGTGGCGAGTGAACACGGAGTGACAAGCTTTCCTTTTGCCAAAGACTGTACGTTTGACCCAAGGACCAGGAGCACCACCAGTGGAGAGAGCCTCTCCGCTCCTGGCATCAGTCTGGGGAGCTGGTCGCATTTCTCTCTCTCAAAACTCAACTTATTAGAAAGATGAGTTGGGTGGATGGTGCTGCCATCCTCTGGGTGGGCTTCTCTGAAGGAAAGATGGGAGAGCAAACGGTGAAACTTCCTCATCTGCGGTGCCCTGTGGTAGCAGTGTCCCCGCCCCGGCCTCCCCAGGGCGGTGCAGTCTGCCTGTGCCGCAGAAGGCCTGCCCCGCCCTCGGGCTCTCCTTGCTAACCGAGTGTTTTTCTTTCTTTTTGTGTTGTAGATTCCTAAAGGTGGTGAAGGAGCCAGAGCCCGGGAGCCTTCCCAGGAGAAACTCACTGGTCTGCCTGTCTCCACAGGCCTGGCGCCGGGAACAGGTTGCTGGGGCTGGGCTGGAGTGTGGCCCTGGCCGTCTCCACCCGAAGGGACACCCCACACCTGCAGCTGCTTGCCTTTGCCTTCTTTTCTTTCACAGCATGCTCCCTGTGGCCCAGCTCCTCCCACGGCCCGTCCAGCCGCCGGGGGCAGGGCTGTCCCCAGCCTGGTCCTCACCTGTGTGGGCCGTGGAAGGCAGCCAGACGTGAGCTCCCTCCCCCCGCTCCTGCCTCGGCCCTCAGTCCTCCCGGCCGGCCCTGGCCAGTCCATGGTTCACACTGTGCCTTTTGTGAAAACCTTGCCACTCGTCTCCCAGGGAGACTGACAGTCTGGACACGAGGGCCAGGAGCACACCAGGTGGACTGAGCACCCAGCGTCATTGATGTGGTCCGGCGTCGTTTACGTTAGAAAAGATCCGTCTCTTCCCAAGTCCACTGAGCATTCAGTGGGCCCTTTCTGATGACAGGTCCTCACCTCATACTGAACATGGGCCCTTGCAACATTTCACAGCCTGAGAATGCCAGTGGTGGGCACGGGGGCATGCACACGTGCACACACGCCCACATGCACACACACACACATGTGCACACTTTTTTGTTTGGGGCCCTGCCTTCACTGGCCCAGAAAGGTCCACACTGGAAGTCAGATTCCGGCTCATGGACATGCCCAGCTATCTTGCCTGTGTCCACCTCTCACGGGGTCCAGGACCGTCTCCCCACCGTCCCCCATGAGAACTGCAGCTGTAGCACCCGAACGAGCTTCTCACCGCTGTATTAGCTTGTTACGAAGTGAAAGTTCCCCTTCTAGAATTCCAAGATTTCCATCTTAGGATTTTAGCGCTTCCATCACCAAAGACCCTATGCTTCTGTCCTTCGAGTGACCTGTGGCTCCAGCTTCTGCTGTTCTTCAGAATTCACTGTTGTTTTTTAACTTGTTTCCTTCCTCCCGTGGATCTTGGAGGAAAACATGAGGTCATGTACCCACTCAGGCAGAGATCAGCGTAGCTTCTCTTTTGGTGCAGAAACAGTCCGGCAAAGTCATTGGCTGTGAGTTTCTGTGAACGAGACACCATCAGAAGCCCAAGGGTGAAATCGGGCCTCTCTCTTCTTTTGTTTGGCTTTTGGTTGCTAGACGGTCACCTTGAGCATCCTCAGTTCTCCTCGACGTTGGAGAATCTGAGACAAGGAAGCCTTATAGGAGCAAGAGGGTCAGGGGCAGGAACGACGGGTGCCGAGGTTCGGGCCCGTGTTCCGTGGTCAGAAGCTGGCTCGTCTCAGCAAACCAGGGTTGACCACACGCCACAATCTGGGAGCAGCTCAACCCTCCGTGATGAACCGTGAGCGAGTGAATGCCTGGAGGGAGCAGGGGAACAGGAAGTGGCTTCGGGTTTAGGGTGAGCAAGTGACAAGCCTGGGCCCTCTCTTGCTTCTCTTCCGCAGAAGTGGGGCTAGGCCCAGGGGCTCAAACCGCCTGCCCAGAGCCTTGCAGCCTGGGAGTCTCGGGGCTGCTCCCGTCAAAGCAGCTTCTGTTCCCCTCAGCGGCCAGCCATTGTAGCAAAAATCAGTCTTGGGAGAGGACTGGTTTGGCAGTCGACATTGAAGCCAAAATGCCAAAGGCTAGAGGAGCCAGGGCCCCACCTGCATCCCTGCACACCAACAGGCGCGTGGTCAATACCGGCAGACAGTCCCAGCGGCGGCAAGGGCTCCTCGTTGGCCGGGGCGACCTGCTCTCTCCAGGATCTTCTGAATGTCACTAAGTCCGGCTGGCCACTCTCCACTCCACAAGGATGTCATGTGTTTAAAACATGAGCTTAGAGCCTCAGTAGTGCATGAGCATTGCATCTCACCCTGGGTCAGGATAGAGTCATTTCTTACAACATAGGGAGAAAGTATAAGCTGCAGTAATTTGTTCTTTTAACGTCTGTCAAACTCAGTATAGAATATGCTTGTGTCCTCTCGTGTCCCCTGCACCTTTTTTGGCCGCCTGTGCCACCTGCATCCAAGAAAGAATGGACAGTGCGTGCTTTTCTACGTTGGCCTGGTGTCTGCCCCTCTGCGGATCGGCGAGGGCAGCGCTGCTCTGCTGGGCTCAGTAAAGGGAACGCGCTACGCGATATTCTGCGGTAGATGAGATGTATCAGCCGGGACTCCTCGGAGCCCGTCTGTTCTTAAGGAGCAGTCCGCGTCCAGTGGAAACACGGACACACACACACCGCCCCGTGCTCCTCGGTCGCCCGCCTACCCACTGCCTGCCGTTCCTCCAACAGTGCTAGAATTTTCCTTTGCAGGGTGGGAAAACATGGAGAGGCCTGGACCTCGGTGAGGGGCTCCCCTTTGGGATTTCATCCTGCTTGTCCTGAAGCTTCTAGGTTGTGACTCCCCGGCGACATGAGCCCACAGCTTGTCTCACCAGCGGGAGCATCTGTGATTACAGGAGGGATACCCACCAGGAGAACTTTATGTTGATGCTGAGTGCTTTTCCAGAGATTTCGGTGTCAGACTTCCTGATGGCTCCGCCTCCTGTGCTCCTGTCTTCAGAAACCTTTCGCACGTGACCCCAGGGTCTGCTTTAACGGACTGAGCACCTTTCAATGTTTTGGTCTGTCCGTGTGTGTTGCACTAATTCCGAGCTGTGGGCACTTCGGTGTGGTCACGGTCATTGTCCAGGTTCTGGAATTGCCCGTTTGTCTCTGGAGATGGAATTAAACCAAATAAAGTGTTCCAGGGGAAGGCTTCTGTCCATCTTGTAATTACGTATTAATCCTCTAAATGTTAAATAAAAGTATGATGGCCACGGTATCATGGGACTGTTTTGTTTCACAGAGAGGTGATTCGGGTCATGAGAGCAGTCAGAGTCCCCGGGGCTGGGGCTGGGCTCTGGGCTGCCCGATTACCTGGTAAGGCCAGGACCATCCGTCCTTCCCTCCTTCCTGTCTGTGAGGAGGGGCCTGTGGCCAGCTAGCTCGCCCACCCCGCCCTCTGGGGAAAGCTGTCAGAGCCCGGTGAGGTGAGATTTAGGTGGATTCAGCCCCGGGATTTGGGGGAGGCTTCTGAGGACCAGGGCGTTTTTCTTGGCATGCAAATTCAGCCCGCTGCCACTCTAGGTTTTCAGGGACCCTGCTGTGGGGGGCCGGGGGCGTTTCATGGGCGTCTGCCACCAGGCTCGAGCCCACCCTCCGGGTAGCTTGCTGGAATGATCCCTGGTTTCCGTGCAGCTGCGGACGGTGTGCAGCTCAAGCGCGGGGCCTCGTGCCTGGGCCCGGGTGGGTGCAGTGGGAGGCCCGTGCCCACACCCAGCACTGAAACTGTCACCCGGGGCCTGGGGCAGTGCTGTGGGTTTGTGTCCACACCTCTGCTTGCTAAGGGTCCTTAGAGCAGTGGAGTGTGGGCAGAGCCCGCCTGCTGGTGCCCGGTGGACTCGCTGAGGCTGGGAGGTGAGGCCGGCGTCTGCGGCCCTGGCTCCTCCCACGGCGGGGTGAGACCTGCCCTGGGGAGAGGGCCACTCCCCGTCAGGGAGTCTCTTCGCAGCAAGACCGTAAGGGAACCAACCAGGTGGCTTGACTCATCACCTCTCGTCTAGATTGTCGCAGAAAGTCACCTAGGAAGAATGTTTCCAGAGTGTTCTTTCCGGGCTTTGTGCTATTTTGGGGAATAGTCAGTCTCTGGGTCAGAAATGTGCCCCCTTGCCCCCCTGTCTCACTTAGAGCCTTCCATCCTGGAAGGACCCGACCGCTGGGGAGCTGGCTTGCTGCTTGGAGGCACATGTCTCCTCTTTCTGGGCCGTGGGGAGCTGCTGTGGGAACAGGAGCCCATGGGGACAGCGGGTGGCCGACTCCCCAGCAGTTAGCGAACGTTAGCTCCGATTCACGCTGTCCCAGCTGCCTTGATGGCGTCTGTGTGTCAGACAACTATAAGCTGAGCTCTCTGGTGTGAATCACCGAAATGCTGGCGTGGCCCATCTTTGTGCACCTACTTGGTCCAGCATTTTGGGGCTAGGCACCTCTCCCCACCACACACCTGAACCTGCTGGTGACTCACTTCTGCCCCTCTCGGGTTGGGAACAGGTGGCGGCCACGCAGAGCAGATGATTTGTTTTCTGGGTGACGCAGATTCCAGACCCAGCAGACCTGTCAGTCTGGCTCCTCTGGCAGGTCCAGGAAGAGCCTCTCGCGGGTGTGGCTGGGCCTCCTCTCCTCCCCCACCTGCGGGCCACACCCAGGCCTGCCCCTGGGGTACAGGGGCAGTGGTGCCCCCTGGTGGAAGAGGATTGAGTGCCAGGGGAGAACTGGGTCCCCAGGAGGGAGACTAGGAAGGAAATGGAAGTGGGCAGAGGCCGGCAGTTCAGTCCCATTTTTCATTAAAGCAAAGGGGTCTCGAGTTGTGAAATCCACGGGCAGCCTGGAGACCAAACCTGGAATGGCCGCTGCGGAGATGGAGGGGTGGTCTGAGTGTGGGAAGGAGCCGGGCTGCGGGCTGGCGTGAAGTCTGGGGATTAACGTCCCCGGATGACCCGAGCAGTGAGGAAGCCGGTCCCTGCCTCCACCTGCCTTGCCTAGAGACCTCCCCTCCCCCTGGCTGCTGTCCAGTGTTCCGAGGGAGCCGGTAAGCTGTCGCCAAAGCCCTCGGTCACTCGTGTGGGTCAGGAGCTTTTCTCCAGTTTGACCCAGCAGGCCCTGATATAAACCCTTCTGTCTCTGTCCAGCTGGGATAGTGAGTGATAGTCACTTAAATGACCTCCCATTAGCTGGGGAGATGCCGGGGACAAAAGGTACTGAGGAAGCTGGAACTGAGAAGGGCCCCCTCGGCCTTTGTCCTCAGAGCCAAGGGGCAAAGCTTGAGGAGGAAACGGATTTCCTCCTCCTCCGATGGGCCCCAGAGCAGAGGCAGTGGGGGAGCGGGGGGGGGGATGGGGGGCAGGGTCTGGGTCCCACAGCACTTTGCCCCCAGCGTGCCCATCCACCCCCGCGCCAGGCCCAGCCCTGTCCAGCTCCATCCCAGCTCCAGCTCCCCAAACACCCCTCATCTGGCTGGCGTCAGACCCAAGGACAGGAGAGCCATCCTGACAGGCCCCTGGGGCAGCTTTCCTGAGCACACTGTGACATGCTGACGGCTTTCTCAGCTTTTCCTCCAGGCGTTCGCTCCTAGGGGACCTCAGGGCTGGAGGCCACGGAGCCCACCCCGAAATGCCACCCTTCCCCAGAGGCTCTGGGGCTCCCGAGGCTGGGTAGACTGCAGGACAAGACACAGGAGGGAGGCAGCCGCACCTTTTGGCTGCACTTGCGAGTGTATTTCTGATGCAGGTCTGAGCAGAGGTGCAGGCAGGTGGGGAGGCCGGCAGGGACACGGCAGGGACACGGAGCGCTGGCCCAGACTCCCGGGGTCCTAGGTGCTGCTGGAGGGTGTCAGCCAAGCCCTCCTGTCCTGGGTGGAGGGGACCGCGTGGGAGACGAGGCTGCGGACCGCCCCACTTCCTGTCTCCACTTCGTCTGAGGTGAACAACCACAGACTCTAAGTTTGGCTGAGCCACTGAAAAGCGTGGTATTTTAAGCGAAGATACAAAGGAAACATTTTAAGGCCAATTGGTACCTATTTCTTTCTCACCTTCCTGGAGAATAATCGAATGTTTCTAAACCTCCCAAATCACTGTCTCAGCCCAGACGTTCCCACTCAGCATCCGTGTGAACAAGACAAGCCGGTCACAAGCCCGCACCTGGGATTCCACACCAACATCCAGATGGGAGCAGAGCTGCCGCCGCGTGGACTCCGTGTGTGGAAACACAGGCCCGCGGGGGCGGAGGACATGAGGCCAGGCTGGACCCGCCTGGGCGGACCCTGTCACCGCTGCCACTCCCTGTGAGCACGTTTCTGCGCATTCAGGTCCGATGGGATCTCACGAGTAAATGTTTAAAGTAACACAAAAATCTTAGTATTCTCTTCCCCACAAACCCCAAAATAGAAACAAAACCACCCAACCACGGGGACTGGAACACGAGCACCGCTGCCCGTCGGGCTGCCAGCGTGGACGCGGTAGGAAGGGTGCCCCGGGCGGTGGAGCCCTCTGGGGTCCGGGAGGGACACACCTGCTGCTGCCAGGGCACCAGCCTGGGGTGTGCTGGCCTGCCCCCCACGGCCCTCCTGCGGGGTGGCCCAGCCCCCGCAACCCTCAGAGCCTTGCAAAGCCCCCATCGTGTGGGTGCGCCCCGCCCCCCACAGCGGGCTCCAGGCTCCCCCCAGTGACAGAGACGACAGCAGGGCCGGGGGACCGCAGGGGTTTATTACGCATCCCGAACACACTGGGCGGCGCCGGGCGAGACTCCGGCCCGCACAGCAGAGCCTGCGCGTCCCGGCCACATGGCGGGCCCTGCAGTGGGCTCGCGCAGCAGCTTTCGAAAGCCCGGGCAAAGGTCAAGCAGTTCCCAGAGCGGCTTGTTCTGTGATCGCACGGTGCCTGGTGGGGAAGGTCCCCCAGACCGAGACCACAGACCTGAGTGACACGCGACAGGAGCTTCAGGGGCTCTGGCAGAACCGCCTGCCGGCCTTCCATCACATCTGCTTCTTTGGAGCCTGAAGGCCGGGCCTGGGGCTTTGCTCCAGGACCCTCCCCCGCCCAGGTGAGCACCGGCCCCAGCTGCTCCCTCCAGGCTGCAGGGCCCCTGCGAGCGGTGCCCGGTGGCCACTCCGACCCAGCAGACAGTGTGGCAGCTGTGCAGGCCACGCCCCGGGCCAGGGCCGCGCTGGGCAGTGTGCGAGGGAGGGGGGAGCGCTGTTCTCTGACGTCGCCCCCAGGGAAGCCGCATGAGCAGCAATAACTCAGCTGGAGGTATCTGTTCCGGGCTCCCAGGCGGGGCAGCTCCGCAGGGTGAGAGGGACCCGCTGCCTCCAGAAACGCCCCCTGGAGTCCCAGTCTCCAACGAGCCGCTGTCTGGGGAGCAGCCCAGGACTCAGGAGCCCCTCCGTGCACTCTGGGGTGCAGGGGTGAAGCGGGCCCTCTGCTCACCAGCTCCGACTCTGCCCGTGGGTCTCGGCGCTGGGCCAGGTGCCCATGGGAAATGCCTGGGAAGCAGCAGCCCCTCGGTCTCTGCCCCGAGCACAGCCCGGTGAGAGCCGGGGACAGAGCTGGGCCTGCGCTGGCTGAGGGCGGCTACGGGGACCCAACGACGACGGATGTGTGGTCTTCCCACCAGCCTGAGGTGAGCATCCTTGCCCGAGCGGGCATCTGCCCGGGAACCGCACTGCGCCGCCTCCACACCTGGGCCTCCGCGGCGCGGGCCTCTCCTCCAGGCTCCACGCACCCTCCACCGGGAGGAGGCCAAGGCAGGGGCCTGGGCGACACCCGGTCACCCAGCCCGGCAGGCCCCGTCGAGTGTCCTTCCAAGCGGCCTCACGGAAGGTGTGTTCAGGGGCCAGCACTCAAGGGACACGAGAAGGTCTCTGGAGAGGGAGGAGGGGGACTAACAGACCAGCCCAGAAAGTCACAGGGCGCGGGTCTCAGCTTCGATCTTCTGCTCCCCGTGCTGGCTCTCCGGGTCCTGCGGCTGGGCCACGCTCTGCCGAATGGCGATCTCGGGGCCGCCGCCGTACAGGCTGTGCAGGTAGGTCCAGGTCTCCTCGGAGATCTGCCCGTAGTCAGCGCCTGCAGGCCCGAGGCCACACCGGTCAGAGCCGGACTGGCCCGCACCCCTCGTGCCCTGTCCCTCGGTGGAGCCCTGGGTGTGGCAGTGGCTCCGGGGCAGCACCCACAGCCGTCAAATGGAAATCTCAGCATTTCCTAGTACAACATCCGCTCTCGGGGCCCCAGAGGGCACATCTCTGGCTGTGCCCCTTCTCTCCCAGATGTGGGGTTCACAGGAAGGGCGGCAGGCACGGCCTGCAGAGGGCAGTAGAGAGGAGGCGGAGGGGCCTCGGACTCACACCGAGGCCAGCACCTCCGCCCATCTGCTGGGGCCCTGGGCCTGGACTTGGGTGGACCTGACTCGAACAGGAGGCCAGGGGCTCCTGGAAGGACCCGACTGGCAGCCCGAGGGGCAGAGGAGCCTGGCTGGAGCCGGGCTGGAGCCGCGAGACTCACCCTGCTTCAGCTGGATGTGGCCGCTCCCTTTCACCTGCGCGATCCTGCTGTTGTCGATGGGGCCCGGGGGCTCTGCAACAGACAGCTCAGGCTCGGCGCCCGCCCAGCAGAGGGACACGTCCCAGCCTCCACCATGGCGGCCACCCGACAGGTGAGCCAGTCTCAAGGTGACTCGACACCTGTGATCTAGAGAGGCTGTCCTGGGGTCAGCGTGCAGTCCTCACGGGCGAGGTGCTCGGGGCACGGGGCCAGATGCCCGTCTGCAGACATCTGGAGCCAGAGGGACTCAAAGGGTCCCTGGACCCAGCAGGGGGACTTTCGAGGACTCTCGACCCCAGCATGGGGGTAGGGCATGCTGAGTGGACACTGCTCTAATCTCAGATGGCCCTGCCACTTGCTGACCATGTACCCCAATATCTGCTGTTCCTCAACACCACGTGAAGGAGACCTGCCCAGTCAGGGGCAGAAGGCAGAGCCAGGGCTCAGGTTCTCCAGCCCAGCCGCCAACAGTAGGGACGCAGGGGGTGTCCCTGGTGCCCTTGCCGACTGGCAGGGGCTGGATGCAGGGAGGTCTGCCCCTTCCCCGGGCACGGCTGGTGCTTACGCTCCGAAAGGCAAATGGCACTGCCAACCCCACGGGCCCCGGTCTGAGAGCCTGCCCATGGGGCTCGGGCTCCGCCGTTCCTTGCTGGGACTGTGGGGAGTCTGGGGGCTGCCTCCTGAGGGGCCTCTTTCCACCTCAGTAAATCGAGGGTCAGAGGACACAGTGTCTTTTCCTAAGAGTCTGTGGCCATCTGACACTAAGATCCATTATTTAGGGCAGGGGAATCTCCAAAGCAGAGGGCCCGGCAGAAGGGGAAGCCACCTCCGTGGGGCATCGGCCAGAGAGAGCGGGAGGGAAAGGGCAGAGTGTGGCCCTGGCCCTGGGGCATGGGTGGCCTGGCGTGGGGTGGTGCTCACTCACCTAAAGGGAGGCACCAGAAACCTACTGGGCAGGCACAGATCTGGGGCCCCTCCTCCGCCTCCTGGGACACCCCCAGCAGACCCGAAGCCCCCAGGCCCTCCTGGCTGGGCCAGGTGTGGTGCCAGACCCTGCTCCACTCACCGTGGTCCTTCCCCTTGACAAAGGCCTCCCACTCCCGGAACCACTGCATGCTGATGCAGTAGATGGTGCCCGGGGACTCCTCGGCCTGGAACGCCTTGTTCAGCTGGGCGGGCGGGCAAGGGAGCAGAGGAGGGTCAGCGTGAACAGCCCGACACCAGCCCAGTGCCAACCCCGCTCTTACACACCAGGAGATCGTCGAGGAGGGAGATTTAGAATTCCCACAAGAGTCAAAGCAAATAAACGTCTCCCACGACCCATCACCGCTCACAGGACTGCCGCTAACATTTTGGTGAATCTCTGGTCCGTAACTTGAAAAGGACTCGGCTGAGACCGCATGGCTGAGGCTGTCCCCCTACAGAACTGGCTCGCTCACGAACTGTTCTGCCCGTATCATGTTTCCAGGGCCACACAGCCCGGGCCCGTCAGCCCCACCGCCAGCCCTCCGCTGCTGCATGACGATGGTCCCCGAACCTCGTTCTGGGCAGCACCAGAGGGGGGCGCTTGGGCCTCCGCCTCGCACACACTCGTCTGCACTTTCCCGTGTCAGTCTGTCCCCAATATGGGGTTCTGTCCCTCAGGTCTGCAGGTAACCTTGGTTTTACCAGTATCAATTAGAGGCCAGAGATGCTGCTAACCCTTTCCCCCGAGGACATTTCCCCAATAAAGCGTCACCCCGCTCTGGCCGGTGTGGCTCAGCTGGTTGGTGTGTTCGAGACCCAGTTGGGGCGCATACTGATCGATATTTCTCACATCATGGTTTCCCTCTCTCTGTTTCTGCCTTCTTCTCTCTCTAAGATCAATGAACATGTCCTCGGGTGAGGATTAAAAAAAATTTTTTTAAAGAATCATCCAGCCCCAAATAGCAGCACCTGATCCCTTTAACAGCTGCTTCATAGTCTGCCAAGCAGATGGACCTGAACTTATCAAACCCAACCCTCTGCCAGTAAAAATCTGAGCTCTCCCCCAAAGCACAGCCTCCAGCCCAGCCTGACCACCTCTGCCCTCGGGGCCACGTGTCCCAGCCCAGCCTGACCGCCTGCTGCCCTCGGGCCACGTGCCCCAGCCCAGCCTGACCGCCTGCTGCCCTCGGGCCACGTGCCCCAGCCCAGCCTGACCACCTCTGCCCTCGGGGCCACGTGCCCCAGCCCAGCCTGACCGCCTGCTGCCCTCAGGGCCACGTGCCCCAGCCCAGCCTGACCACCTCTGCCCTCAGGGCCACGTGCCCCAGCCCAGCCTGACCACCTCTGCCCTCGGGGCCACGTGCCCCAGCCCAGCCTGACCGCCACCCGCCACCCGCCACCCGCCCGCGCACCTTAATGAAGGTGTCAATCTCAATCCGCCTGCGCTTGGCCAGCGCCTCGATCTCCACCTGGCAGATGGAGCACACGTACAGGTGGTTCACGGCAGGGCCACCCCCAAACCTGCAGGGGTGCAGAGAGAGACACACACCGCTCTCCACTTGGCCGTCCTCATCCAGGGAGGCTCCCTGACACTGCGCCTGTGGGTGTCCCGGGCACAGTCTGTTGACTCGGCCCTCCCCCCTAGACTGACAGGGCGCCTGCCCCAGGGCCGTTGGTCACAAAGGTCACATTAACGTTCTCACTTCCTCTCCTGGCAGCTGGGCAGGAGCTGTGGTGGCTGAGAGCCTGCCCAGGCGGACCCTGAGGACAATGTCAAAGGGGGACCGCAGGTCCTTCTGCAGGTCGGAACGTGGATCCCACAGGTGGGGAGGCAGCTCCCTGGGGGTTCTGTCCCACCCACAGGGCCATCTGCCCGTGACCTGCAGGGGGATGGGGAAAGGGTCCCACAAGGGGCCGGGCAGCCAGAACTCCTCAGCCTCTCTGCCACACCTGCCTGACCCCTCTCCAGGCCGTGGCACATTCTGCCGGCCCAGGCAGGTCCTCAGAGAGCCGCAGGCTCTTGGTCTTGATGAACGTGACCAGGGAGGGCCCAGGCAGCACAGACCCTGGCCACCTGCGCCGGGTGGGGGCGGGGGCGGGGGCAGGGCGGGGCGGGGCGCGGCCAGCCTGCCCTGCAGCCAGCACCCCGGGACTGTCTGTGGGAAGAAGCCGATGTGCCCGCTTCGTTGAGGCAGCTTTGTGCCCCGGTGACTGGAAGGCTCCACCCAGTGCCCACCAGCATCTCTCCCAATGCAGACTCCCTGCGAGGGGCCCGGCACTGCTCCGTGCCACCTGCTGCCCGCGGAGGGCGGAGGGCCGAGGGCGGCGTGGGGCCCGAGGCAGCCCCTCCCGGCTCTCCTCTCGCGCCCCCGGACGAGGCTGGCCTCGGCACCTCACCTGCTGTACAGGTGCTCCCACACGTTCTGCGGCAGGATCACCACCAGGTCGTCGATGTAGTGGTACTTGTTGGGCGGGATGCCTGCGGAGGAAGGCGCAGGGAGGGAGAGGTGGGGCTCGGCCCGCCCGCCCTCACTCCGAGCTCAGAGGAGGCGCCCTCACCTCCGTGGGAGCAGAGGAAGGTGTGGTTGGTGATGGGCCCCGGCTCAGCGAAGGTGTTGAACTTGTTGAGCCATTCTCGGGACACGTAGAAGCGCAGCAGGCTGGGCTCCCGCATGGCGGCCAGGGACACCACCTGCTCCCGCTCCCGCACGGCCTCCTCGCTGCTCTTCCTGGGGGGGGGGGGTGCAGACTCAGGAGCAGCTGGGCCTGGGCTCACCTCCCCGCAGGGGCTGCAGCCACGCCCTGCCCAGGGGTGTGTTCAAAGGCACCCCTATCTCTGGAATCCAACCTCCTAAACCTCAAACCCAACGTTTTAGGTGTCCCATTTCCCCATAGCCAGAGGGACTTCTTAAACACCTGAGTCCTTACCCCTGGGCCCTAAAACCTTCCAGGCTCTGCCCCGCCCCCTAGGTTCTCAGAGCCAAGCCCCGCCCTGAAGGCTGCAGGGGGGGGGGCGCACCTGTAGAAGAGGACGTAGGCCTCAGCGCCCTGCACCACCATCTCGTGAACCTCGGTGACATACTGGTCGTCAAACTCATACCACTGCCCGTTGATCACGTTCTGGCAGTAGGCGATGTAGTGGCCACCTGCACCAGGACAGGCAGGCAGGTTACAGGCGCCCGGGAGTGGGGCCGGGCCAGGTGGGCGCGGGCGGGACTCACTGCCTGCCGTGCCGTGGTGGCAGATGACCGAGAGCAGGTCGTAGGTGGCGATCTGGGATGTGCACTCCTTGGCGAGGAAGGGGCGCAGGTCAAGTCCCTCGAGGGGGAAGGAGACGTGGCTGCTGATCTTGAATGAAGACATCACCTCATGCCGAAAGCGCTTCAGGTGGATGCACAGGACCTGGGGGCCGAGAGCTGGTCCTTCCAGGCGGCCAGAGCCCTGTGGCCCTGGGTGGCCACAGGGGCCTCGAGGCAGGGCCCGGGACACCGCGAGCCCACTGTCTGACTCAGTTCTTGTCGTCCAAGTGGAAACAAGAAACCCAGCAGCTGAGGCTCAGGCCCACGGGTGGGGTCTGCCCGCCACTGAACACGTGGGAGAACCTGCGTGGGGGCCGCACTGGGTTCCTGAAGCCCCACAGGAAAGACAGACGTGACGTGGGCTGGGCTGCACTCAGGGGGGCTGCCGAGGGGCTGCCCTGTGCGGAAAGCGGACTGTCACTGGCCCACTGCGTTTGCCACCCTGACCTCTGGCAGCCAGTTCTGGTGGCATCAACTGCAGACGCTTCTCCACAGAGGCTTCCCGAACCCGCTCCCCCCCACCCATCTCCGGCCACGCTCCTCTGCTCCAGTCCCTCGCTTTGGCTGTGCCCGTCCCTGCTGCGGGGTTTTGCCCACCTGTTCCTGCCCAACTGTCCCTCCACGAGGCCGACACCGGCCCACATCCTCAGGGCACGTGCAGACGCCACCTCCTCAGCAAGGCCTTCCCTGACACCCCTGGGCTGGGTCCCCTCCCCTCACAGCTGCCTACTCTGGGTGGTCCCTTAGTGCCCCTACCTGCCTCATGGTGACAGAGGAGCTGAGGCCACAGAGCGGGCGCCGAGTTACAAGTGAAGATGAGCCTGCGCACCTGCCAGACCTCCGGGAGGTCCCTCAGCCACAGCAGCAGCCCGTAGGCCTCCTTCACCCCGAGCTCCCGAGTCAGGGCGGGGCCAACCCCAACCCCAACCCCACCTGGCAGGGCGGCTCCACTCACCTCCGGCAGCCGCAGCACCTTGCAGTACTTCACCCCGTTCCGCAGCCTGGGAGGAGAGCACGCGGCAGGCACTGAGCAGCCCCGGGGCGGCTAAGAGGCCGGATGGGCACCCCTCCCACCCTGGTCACCTCTGCGAGGTCAGGGTCGGACCTTCTGGGGAGACTCGGGGGGGTGTGTGGAACACGTATGGACACGGGGTGGGGACGGGAAGCTGAGAACCCCGAATGCACACACTTACTTTTTACACCGTTCGCAGCTGTACATGTTGTCACCTAGGGCAGAGGACACAGACCAGGGTTGACAGGGACGGGAGGTGAGAGGCAGAAGCACATGTAATGGTTTATGCTTAAGAAACAAAACCACAGCCCGGTGTGGCTCAGTGGTTGAGCGTCGACCCAGGCACCAGGAGTTTGCCAGTTTGATTCCCGGTCAGGGCACATGCCCAGGTTGCGGGCTTGATCCCCAGTGGGGGGCATGCAGGAGGCGGCCAATCAATGTTCTCACATCGATGTTTCTCTCTCTCTCCCTCTCCCTTCCTCTCTATCTAAAAAGTCAATAAAAATATATTTTAAACAAAGGAAAAAACACCCTCAAATAAACAACCTAATTTTAAACCTCAAGGAATTATAAAAAGAAAAATAAGCTAAGCTAAAGTAAGCAGAATGAAGGAATAATAAAAATTAGTGCAGAAATGAATAAAACACACCAGAAAGACAGTAGGAAAAAAATCAATCAAACTAAGAGTTGGTTTTTTGTTTTTTAAAGATAAACAAGCCCTGGCCAGTTTGGCTTCGTGGTTAGAACGTTGACCCTTGGACCAATGAATCGTGGGTTCGATTCCGGTCAAGGGCACGCACCTCAGTTGTGGTTAGTCCCCGGCCCTGGCTGGGGTTGTGTGGGAGGCAACCAATTGATGTGTCTCTCTCACATCCATGTTTCACTGTCTCCCTCCCTTTCTCTTTCTCTCTCTCTTTCCCTCTTCTTCCTTCACTCCCTCCCATTCGGTCTGAAGATAAATAAAAAATATCCTCGGGTGAGGAATTAAAAAAAAAAAGATAAACAAAATCGACAAAGCTTTAGCTGGATTAACCCAGAAAAAAGAGAGGACTCAAACAAAACCGTAAGTGAAAGAGGGGGTGTTACAATGGGCACCACAAAAACACAAAGGATCGGAAGACACTACACCAACAAATTGCGTACCCTAGTGAAATAGACAAATACCTAGAAACATACAACTTACCAGGACTGAGTCGTGAAAAAATAGAAAATCTGAGCCAACCAATAATGACTAAGAAGACTGAAGCAGTAATAATAATTAAAAAAAAACTCCCAACAAAGAAAAAACCAGGTGGTGTCACTGGTAAATTCTACCAAGCCTTTAAAGAATTAATGCCAATCCTCAAACTCTTCCGAAAAACTGAAGAGGAGCGAGCACTCCCAGACTCATTTTATGAGCCCAGCATTACCCTGATACCAAGGCCAGATAAGAAGGCTACAAATAGAGAAAACTACAGGCCAACATCCCTGAAGGATATAGATGGACCAATTTCCAACAAAATTCTAGCAAACCCAACTCAACAGCACAGTGAAACGATCACACACTACCATCAGGTGGGATTTATCCCTGGGATGCAAGGATGGTTCGACACATGTACGCGAATAAGCATGATACACTGTATTAATAGAATAAAGGATAAAAATCATATGATCCTCTCAGTAGATACAGAAAAATCACCTGACAAATTTCAAAACCCATCTGTTCATGATGAAAGATCTCAACAAACCGGGCGCAGAAGGCGCACACCCCACACCGTAAAGGCCCTATATGACAAGCCCACAGCTAACATCAGGCTCCACAGTGAAGGGCTGACAACTTCCTCTCCAATCAGCAAGAGACAGGGTGCCCTCTCTCACCATTCCTGTTCACCACAGCACTGGAAGTCCTAGCCAGACTCACAGGAAAACAGGAAAAGGACAGAAATGGGGTATTTCCAAATAGAAAAAACTAATAGCCAGTACACTTGTGAAAAAGAATGTTCAAGCTTGCCCGGCCTGTGTGGCTCAGAGGATCGAGCATCATCCCATGGACTGAGAGGTGCTGGTTCGATTCCCAGTCAGGGCACGTGCCCGGGTTGTGGGCTCGATCCCCAGTAGGGGGGCGTGCAGGAGGCAGCCGATCGATGTTTCTCTCTCATATCAATGTTTCTATCTCTCTCTCTCTCCTTTCCCCTCTCTAAAAAACCAATAAAAACATATTTTAAAAACATATCTGTAGAAATTTGACATCTGAGATGACTGTATTTTTTTAAAAAATGTTCAAGCTCATCAATAATCAAGGAAATGCAAATGAAAGCATATCATTTTTGTCCACCAGCTTGGTCAGAAAAGGAAAGCAGGTGAACCCCTAAGAGCTACGAGGAGGGGGGCTGGGAGAACATGCTGTCCAAGCCAGCCTGGCAGCAGGGGCAGGACTGAGGGGAGTCCCCGAACCTCGCACTGCGTGCTGCACGGCGACCCGCCCTGCCAGCCTGGTCACTCACCCTTCAGCTCATCAGCGGCAAAGAAGGCGGCGAGGCAGTCTTCCAGGGTGATGACCGGCCCCCAAAACCAGCTGGGGGTACAGGATACTACAAACCTATGGAGACAGAAAGGGGGTGGCAGGGGTGCTGCCAGGGCCTGGGCAAGGGTAAGAGTTGGGCACCTTTGGGCTGAGGCCGGCCCTGGTCCAGAGAGGCAGCGTGGCCCAGTGGGTGGTAGGAGCTGAGGTACGGAGCCGGACACCTGGGACCACAGGCCAGCAGCTCAGTGTCCTTGGGGGAGTGATGCCATCTCTCCCTGAGCCTCGCCCTCCTCATCTGTGAAGGGGCCCTGATCACACTGCCGTCCTCTGGGCACAGCACGAGCGCCTGGTGTCAGGCGGGTAAAGCAAGCACTGGGGCACGGTGGGGCTACGGAAAGCCGCCACCGCCCTCCCCCAGCTGACCCTCCTTTCTAGCTGCTGCTCGGTCTCTCCTGTCGTTGTGCCTTCCAATCCTGGGGCCTACCGAAACCAGGCCATCGCAGTGTGGACAAGGGACACCCCACCGCCAATCCTGGGGCCTACCGAATCCAGGCCATCGCAGTGTGGACAAGGGACACCCCACCGCCAATCCTGGGGCCTACCGAATCCAGGCCATCGCAGTGTGGACAAGGGACACCCCACCGCCCTTAGCTAACTGCCGTGCATCCTCCAGCCTGCAGCTCCCTCTGGACTCTGCCCTCGTCCCTGCAAGGCTGTACTTTGCCGTTTCAGGTCTGTCGCAGGCCCGGCTGCGAGTCCCAGGGAGGCTGGGCTAGGGCCGTCCTGGGCCTCCCGCGGGCGGAAGGGGCATACCGTCGGATGTACTCCACGATGAAGGCCAGCCAGCCCTGGGCGCTGTAGCTGTCCCCACAGGCCCCCGGCTTGGCTGGCACGTTCTGGTAGATGGCCGAATGGAGCTTGGCCAGGTCCTCCTTGCCAGGAATGGGCAGTGACAGGTCCTGGAATGTCTCCACTGTAGTGGACACCTGTGGGGTTAAAGGTCAGCCTGGGCCTCCACCTTCCAGAATTCTGCCCTGATCAGAGCAGGCAGAGGGCCTGCTCCCCAACTCCTGGACACCCTGCACCAGGGCCCTCCCCCTCGAGAAAGGCAGGGGCATCCGGTGGCGAATGCACTTCCACCCCCAGCCCCAGCCCAGGGAGGATCGCAGAGGCTGCTGAAGGCAGAACACGGCTCCCCAGTGCAGGGCACGCACCCGGTCACAGGTGAGACACTGCACGAGGCTGAGGATGGAGCCGTCGAAGATGTCGGAGATGACGCTGCGGTAGCGCTGCTCCTTCCGCCGCCTGCTGCCCGCGCTCAGCACCTGGGCTGGGGGCACAGCAGGGAGCTAGGTCTAGCCCTGGCTGGCCTGCCTGGGCCAGGGGCCGGAGCTAGGGCTTGCTTGGCCAGGACGTGGGGTCAAATCTGAGTCACGACTGGGCATGCACTTCACCTCCTGGCGCCCAGTCATGATCTGCAAGATGGGCTCCCCCACTCATGTCCCAGCAAAGTTGGGGGCTCAGAGCCGTGCATGAGCCCCGGCAAGAGGCTTGGAAACGAAGCCACAGGCACAGCTTGCCCGCCCAGCCCACTGCGCCCTCCCCGCCCACCCTCCACACCTTTCTTGAGCACGTACGCCGGTCCCGTCCTCACGGGGCTCGCGCGAGGAGGGCTGCTGGCCAGCTTGGGGTGGCCCTCGTGGTGGTGCACGGGGCTGCAGGGCCGAGACGTGCTGCGCAGGTGGGCCTCATTGTCGGGCTCTGGCGGCAGAGGGGGCCGGGCTGGGTCGGATCTGGAGGACTCGCTGGCACCTCCTGAAGGGACCCAGGCCCGAACTCCCGTGTGTCCCTGTCGGAGCCCACCCACGTGACATCTGCAGGGGAGGCTCGGGGCTCCAGGCTCCGAATCCCACTCCAGCTTTACCAGCGGACAGTCTGGACATGTTATTCAGCTCATCGCTCACCCGGAAGGTGGGTCTCGTGGTAGAAAACCCCCCAGGGTGGTGGAGACCTGAGCGTGTGGGTGGCTGGCACACAGTAGGTGCCGGACAAATGGCTGTGGTGCCCTGAGCAGCTGGTTGGTACCTGGTGTCCGGCAGGGACTGGTGGACCGTGGGGACGGTGGCTGAGCGTCGGTGGGCCGGTGGCCAAGGGTGGCCATGGCGGTGTCCACATCAGCGTCCTCGTCCACCTGCTCGGAGCTCGTGCGCTGCTGGCCCCAGGAGAACCTGCGGTCCTTCATGCGCTCCTTCTCGGAGATGGCGCGGCCCGCCTCGTCCGCCGTCAGCAGCTCCGCCTCGGCCCGCGAGCTGCCCCCGCCGCGACCCTGCCCGTCGCCCTCACCCCTGTCGCTGCTCGAGGAGTCGCAGGACAGAAACTCGTCTTCTGACGGGCTCCGGTCGCCCTCCCTCTTCTCATCTGTGTCGCTCAAGTCTGAGTCCCGAGCCTCCGCCAGGGTCGCCGCCGCCACCACCACCGGCTCCTTGAGCTCCTCGTGCAGCTGGTCCATCAGGCAGCGCAGGAACTCCTGGGTGTCCTGGAACCAGGGGCTGCATCAGCAGGGCTCTCCCTGGGGGTGGGAGGCCCTGCCACAGGCACCCTGCTGCTCCCGACCCAGGACGCCAGTCACTCCCCGGGCAGGGCCTCGCTGGCGCCCTGCGCAGGCGCACTGACCGGCCCTCACAGCGGCCGCGGTGGCAGCCTGTCCTCACCCACGTTCTGCTGAGCACACAGAGGCTTGGAGAGGCTCAGGGCCCTTCCCAGGTCACAGCAGCTATAGAGTGGCAGAGCCGAGGTCCCTACTGCGTCCACCTGATGCTGTTGCCCTGGAGCCCTGCTTCCGACGCCGTGTGGAAGAGAGCGGAGGTGGCATGTTTAGCCAATCAGGTCACCTTGCTCCCGCAAGGAGGGACACTGGGGGCAGGCAGGGAGCCCCAGTAAGAAGGAGGGTGGCATGGAAGGAGTGGGTGCCCAGGAGGGCTCAGCCGAGTTCTGCAGGGAGCACTGCCGGGCTCCTCTGGCACCCAGGACCCTGCCCCTGGTTCTCCCTGCTCCCCAGTCCTGCTGCCCTGCCTTCCCTCGCCCTCCCTGACCTGTGGCAGGAGTACAGGGTCTCAGCTTCCCGCAGACCGGGCATGACTTGGACTAGGCTGTACTCCAGGTCTCAGATCACAGGACTGACGCTCCATTCTGTCTACTCTATCACCTTCCCGCAGACCGGGCATGACTTGGACTAGGCTCTCACTCCAGGTCTCAGATCACAGGACTGACGCTCCATTCTGTCTACTCTATCACCTTCCCGCAGACCGGGCATGACTTGGACTAGGCTGTCACTCCAGGTCTCAGATCACAGGACTGACGCTCCATTCTGTCTACTCTATCACCTTCCCGCAGACCGGGCATGACTTGGACTAGGCTCTCACTCCAGGTCTCAGATCACAGGACTGACGCTCCATTCTGTCTACTCTATCACCTTCCCGCAGACCAGGCATGACTTGGACTAGGCTGTCACTCCAGGTCTCAGATCACAGGACTGACGCTCCATTCTGTCTACTCTATCACCTTCCCGCAGACCGGGCATGACTTGGACTAGGCTGTCACTCCAGGTCTCAGATCACAGGACTGACGCTCCATTCTGTCTACTCTATCACCTTCCTGCAGACCGGGCATGACTTGGACTAGGCTGTCACTCCAGGTCTCAGATCACAGGACTGACGCTCCATTCTGTCTACTCTATCACCTTCCTGCAGACCGGGCATGACTTGGACTAGGCTGTCACTCCAGGTCTCAGATCACAGGACTGACGCTCCATTCTGTCTACTCTATCACCTTCCCGCAGACCGGGCATGACTTGGACTAGGCTGTACTCCAGGTCTCAGATCACAGGACTGACGCTCCATTCTGTCTACTCTATGCCAGGGCAGCAAGGCCTCCGGCACAGCCGCCCTGAGCCCAGCCGAGAGCGGCACACACAGGAAGTGCTTTAAAAGGACGGCAGCTGGCCTCCCAAAGCGAGGGCACTTGGTGCCAGACTGGGCCACGGGTTCAAAGCCCAGTTCCATCCCTCACACTCCCTGATTTGGGTCAGAAACAGCAGCCCCACCCCCAGGCAACCTGACACACAGGAGGTGGGCATCGTGCCTGGCCAGACCCGCCCGGCACCCAGACTCATGCCAGATGTGGGGAGAGGGGCCTCGTCCTCTCTGCTCTGGCAGAGGGAGGAGAGACTCAACCTGGATTTCCCTGGGCAAAATGCCAAACTCAAAGACGAAAGAAATTATTTTAAAAAGAAAAAGGAAAAATGATCAGAGAAATTAACCACGGCCTTGTCTCACATTAGGGAGAGGCGAGGAGACAGGTGTCCTGTGTCGGGGGCACTGAAAAGTTCTTTAAGAAACAGGCCCTTGCCCTGGCCGGTTTGGCTCAGCAGTTAGAGCGTCGGCCTGCGGTCCGGAGAGACCCGGGTTCGGTTCCCGCTAAGGGCGCGTACCTCGGTTGCAGTTTGTCCCCGGCCCTGGTTGGTCATGCAGGTGGCAGCCACTTGATGTGTCCCTTTTACGTTAATGTTTCTCTATTTCTCTCTCTCTTCCTCTCTCTCCCTCCCACTCTACCTGAACAAAAAATGGAAAAATGTCCTCGGATGAGGATAAAAAATAAAAAATAAAAAGAAACAGGCCCTCACCCGGCCCGTATGGCTCTGGTTGAGCGTCAACCCCTGCACCAAGAGGTCGCTGGAGATTCCCGGTCAGGGCACGTGCCCAGTGGGGGGCATGCAGGAGGCGGCCAATCGATGTTCTCTCTCATCAATGTTTCTCTCCCTCTCTCTCTCTCTCTTTCTTTCTCTCTCTCCCCCCCCCCCTCTCAAATCAATAAAGAAAAAAAGAAAGAGAGAAACAGGCCCTCAATATACCATCTGTTTTTTCTGGTTCTTCCCTTCAACAAAAGTGCTCTGTGCTTATTACTAAAAGCTCAAGCCTGGTGGAGGCCTGGCAGCATCCGCTGGCCATAGAGCCCCCAGCGGCATCCCTGCTTAGACTCAGAAACACTCCTGCTCCGGTGCATGCTAGGCAGCAGCAAGCGGCCTTGCTCCACTGTGTCCCCCCCGAGAGCCCGAGGGCCAGCACGGAGCCTTGGACAGGATGAGGGCGGCACTGAGGGAGGTGCTGTGTGACCTGGCTGAGTTGCAGAACCTCTCTGAGCCTCAGCTCCTCGCGTATACGTGGGGGTGGTGACAGGGCCTGTAAGAGAGCTCTGTGCGGATAAACAGGGCTGTACCTATGTGGCAGGTAGTGACCACGTAATAATGTTGGCTGCTGCACTTTGAGCACTGTGTAGACATTATCACTCTCCAAAAAGGATGGCGTTCAGGCAGCTCTGGGTTTCTCACTCAGGAGCCTGGCGTTCATCCAACTGAGGGTGTGAGCAGAGAAAAAGCCAGCAGCCTCCACCCTGGGCAGGGACGGGCAGCAGGGCGGGGGACCAAAGGCGTCTTCACATGACCGCTGCTGTCTAGCGCCCACTCCGGCAGCAGCAACAGAACCCAGCAGGTCCAGCTCCACCGGCAAGCACAGCAGTGAAGCCCCAGCCGGGTGACAGTCTGGGGCCAGGACCTGGGCCACGACCCCCTGGGGCTGAGATATACACGTGGCTGTGTTCTGCTTCGTCCTGGTCCCATGATTTCATGCAATACAAGATATTGGTTTCAAAGGGTTCTCGCTTTACAAACATTGTAATCAAATGTTTACTTTCATAAAAGTGAAATTCTGCCTTGTTTGGAAAGCGAGAAGACATGAGCCACTTCGAACGCAGTGCTCAGGCACACAGACTCCGGAGACAGGCCACCTGAGCTCAAACTTCCCTCCACCGCGTACCAGCCGTGGAACCTGGGCAAGTGACTTGGCCGCTGCGCCTCAGTCTCCCCACCTGGCAAGTGGCTGCCAACCTGTCAGCAGGTTACCAGGAGGCTCCAGTGTCCTCAACTCACTGCACAGCTCAGCCTCTGCCACCGCTCCCCACGCTGGTCTTGGTGACAAAGCCAGGCCTGGTAGGTAACAGCCCTGGGTGTCCCCTGGGCAGCTCAGATGGCCTACCTGCTGGGCGTAACCTCGGAACATCGGGTTGACCAACTTGATCCCGTGGGACAGGCTGGTGGGGACCACGTAGCTTGGTCTGTAAGAAGACCAGACCGTTAGTGCAGGTGGCCTGCCCGAGCTCTCCGTCCCCAGTGCTGACAGGCGGCCAGCCAGCAGGGCGGGGTCAGGCTTGGCGAGGGGTTCACCGCAACTCTAGGAGGTGGTGACCAGCCAGGAACCCCGGCGGGCTCACACGTCTCCAGTCCCGAAGGCAAATGTCCAGTCACGGCCCCCCCAGGCAAAGGGCTCTTGGATGGATGGCATCATTTCCCACGAGTCCATTACTAGTCTACTTTAAGACAGTTTTCATTCTAAAATATTTATTGTGGGTTTTCTCATTTAAAAAGTAATATGTGTACATTATTGAAAAATCTAGCACAGCATAGGGAATATGGTCAATAATATGATAATAACTATGCATGGTGCCAGGTGGGCACTGGGAACAGCGAGGGAACACTTCACAAGGTATATAAATGTCTAACCACTACGTTGTATACCTGACACTAATATAATATTGTATGTCAACTGTAATTGAAAAACAAAAAAACAGTACCAAGAGAGAAATCTAAAATTTCAGAAAAGCCCAACAAAGAAACATTACCACTAACAGCAGCACCCAAACAACCATTAAGACTTGTAGATTTTTCCATGAAGATACAGACACATATCCAGAATCATATATAACAGACATACGTAAACCTGGCTTCCTACGAAATTGGAATTTCATCACATCACACGCCTTTATGATTTGCTTCTACAATTAAGTTATTTCTATGCCCTCACTTTGTCATTCCCAATTTGACTTTTTCTGGGGAAACAGGTCTAATCCAAGCTGCTGGTCTTTAAGTTCATTTCACACCGAGCTACAGAGCCGGCCACCACTTACTCATGGGGCTCCCTCCTGCGTCCGGTTGTGGCCGAGACCTAGGGGGTCATGATGGGGTCTGGGCCTCGCACACTCATCTGTAAAGTGGCTGCTGGCAGGATCAGCACCTGGTTCAAATTCTAGCTCCGTCTCTCATAGTCTGTGACCCTGAGCAAGATACTCCAGTCTCTCTGAACCTCAGTTTCCCCAGCTTGTAAAACAGGGCTGACCATGACCTCTGCCCCGCAGGGCTGCCGTAAGTGTCGTGGGGGCAGAGTACGGCAAGTGCCCAGGAGCGGCCGGATGCACAGCGCATGCTCAGGGGAGCGGCTCAGAGGAAATCCCTGTGCCCACCCAGCTGCCCAAGTCAGGGGCTGCCACTCACCGTTTCCTGTGCCAGACTTCAGACACCAGCTTCTGGTAACTCTTGCACAGGGCTGGCTTCTTGTCTGTGCGCACCAGGCCTCCACACTCCAAGAAGAACTGGGTCAGTGGAGGGCTGGGGAATGGAGGAGCGAGCCCGGTCAGGACAGAGAAAAAGGGGAGCGTTTACAAAGCACTGGGAGAACAAAAGCTTCGGGGAGGGATTGCTCATGTGAGGGACATACTACAGGTCCCTGGAGCCAGAAATGCCTGCAAATGACTAGAAGGCTCCCACTTGTGGGCTGAATTGCGTCCCCTCAATTTTATATGTTGAAGCCCTAAACCCCGGTGCTCAAGAAAATGACTGTATTTGGATACAGGGTCTTTAACAAGGTGATTAGGTAAAAAAGAGGCCATCAGGGTGGGCCCTAATCCAATGTGACTGGTGTCCTATTAAGAAGAGGAAATTTGGTCTGGCTGGAGTGGCTCAGTGGATTGAACATTGTCCCCTGGACTGAGAGGTTCTGGTTCGATTCCTGGCCAGGGCACACACCTGGGTTGCAGCTCAATCCCCAATAGGGGGCATGCAGGAGGCAGCTGATTGATGTTTCTCTCTTACATCGATGTTTCTATCTCTCTCTCCCTTCCTCTCTCTAAAAAATAAATAAAAACATATTTTTTTAAAAAGGAAAAGGAAATGTGGATACAACACTCACAGAGGGGATGATGTGAAGACCCGAGCAGGAGGCCACCTCTCTAGGTCAAGCAGAGAGGCCTCGGAAGAAACCAATCCTGCCAACACCTTGACTTTGGACTTCCAGCGCCAGAACGGAGACAGAACTGTCCGGTGCTGAAGGCCCTGGTCTGTGGTACTTTGCCATGGCGGCCCTGGCAGACTCAGCCCCTTCCCCTCGGGTGAGGGGAGCTTCCCACTCCAGGCTGGGTGTGGGGCGGGGAGCCGGCACCTGCCCTCCCACCTTCCCGAGCCCGAAGGTGCCCCCCACTCCCCTGTTCCTTATGTTTGTAAAGATTATTTCATTACACAAGAAACAGACATTCATCATGAAAAAACTAGAATATGTGGGTAAGCAAACAATAATAGTCGACCTTAAGCCTACCACGTGAAGATAGCTACTCTAAAGATTGGGGGCATATCCTTCCAGACTCCAGTCTTTATTTTTTATTATGTTTTTAATCCTCACCCGAGGATATTTTTACATTCATCTTCAGACAGAGTGGGGGGGGGGGGGGGAGAGAAACCGATATGAGAGACACATTGATTGGTTGCCACCCATGCAACCCTAACCGGGGCTAGGGACCAACTGTGGCCAAGGTATGTGCCCTTGGCTGGAATCAAACCCGGGACTCCCTGGTCTACAGGCTGACGCTCTAACAGCTGAGCCAAACCGGCCAGGGCTCCATGGATCTTTAAACTGTTTCTGATGAGCCACAGGATGATGAGCACCCTGCACAGATGGCTTTTCCCCATCTGAGATCTCCTTATGGTGAGCTCCACAGGAGCGGTCGCTAGGGCAAAGCAAGTTTATGCTCTTTTTTTTGTTTTATCCTCACCTGAGGACATTTTTACATTTATCTTCAGATAGAGCGGGAGGGAGGGGTGGAGAGAGAGAGAAACATTGATGTGAGAGAGACACATCAAGTGGTCGCCACCCACACGACCGCAACCAGGGCAGAGGACAAACTGCAACCGAGGTACGTGCCCTTAGCGGGAACTGAACCCGGGACTCTCTGGTCTGCGGGCCGATGCTCTAACCGCTGAGCCAAACCGGCCAGGGCATGCTCTTTTGATGTGTGTCCATATACATGCATCATGGGGGCTGCTGCTGCTATTTCCAGGCCCCCGGGGACACTGGGCCCCTGCCTCCCAGAGGAGGTGACAACCTACCAGTTGGACAGGGCCTGCAGGGCGGCGTTCATGTAGCAGGAGTTCCCGAGGTTCTTCATGCCCGTGAGGCCTGGGAAACAATGCGCGTGGGGAGGGCGGGAGCACCTGGGTGGCCTAGCCAGGAACCCTCACAGGTACACTCGGAGATCAGCTGTGGGTCTCGGGCCAGCAGGACCCAACCAGAGGACACAGGGGCTGGTGTTCCACCCCAGAGATCCGCCAGTAAGTTAATGTGGTTCCCGCTCACCAGCCATGGCCGCCTGAGTGTATCAAACGACACTGTGCCCTCCAGCCCGCCCGGCCCACTGTCCGCACTGTACCGGTGGGGGTGGCGTGCAGAGGGGCCACGCGGCAGAGGCCGGGTGCGGGGCGGCAGGGCGGCTGCACTCCAAGGGAAGCCACCGTGCTGTGAGGGTGTCTGCCACTCCGCCCAGTGCCCCATGCTGCAGAGCTTTTCCGCCCAGAGCTGAGCCCCAGCCTGGCGCCAGCTCCCCCTGTTCTGAGGGCTGTTACCTCGAGGCTTCAGGTCATCATCTTCGGACTCGGACTCTCCTTCATCGGCCACAGCAATAGGGACGGCTTTCAGAGGGTGGGCGGGCAGCGAGGAGTCCTGTGTTCAAGACCCAGAGTGAGGATAAAGAGGGGTGAGGGGGCAGAGTGCGGGGGTGGGAAGGAAGCCCAGCGGCCAGCCCAGCCCGCAGCCGCACGGAGCCGGCCCCGCTGCACAAAGGGCGCGTGGGGAGGGCCTGCTCTGCTGGCCTCGCCCTGGGAACTTGCATTTTACTAACAATAATGAATAATAGTTACTTATTTTATTTGTAATTAATTTGGGGAAAATAGAAATAAAGAGTAACAACACGCAATACAACTTTGTTTTATAGCCTTTTTTAATAAAAAAAAATCACCAACAGCGACCGTGCCCACAAATGTCCTGCACAACTCTGTCGAGCACTGCTACGTGCCGGTCACTGTCTAACCATGGAGGGGTCCCACGGCACGGCAGTGACTGACCCCCCGAGGCCAGGCGTGCATGGGCTCGCTGACCTGCCACCTGAGGCTGCCCGGTGCCCCGCTCAGGGTCGCCTGGGTGGTTTCCAGGCGTTTCCCACGCAGGAGCTCGCTGCAGCTACTACTGGGGATCCCTTCAGATCTGGGGTTGCCAGGGGCTCTCCGCCTAGGCCTCGCAGCGTCTGCACTGACCCGTGTCCCAGGGTCCCCCAGCCTTGCATTTACACACACCATCTCCCCGGGGACTGCAAGCTCCCCGGGGGGACCCTGCTCCCAGCCTCCTTTGCGTCCTCGTGGCCTCACATGGGCCTTGGCACAGAGCCAAGGTTCAGCGAACAACCACCGACATGAGCTTCCCAAAGTCACCTGGAAACGGTGACCAGGAACAGATGCTGCCTGGGACCCACTTATTCGTGCTCCACTGAGGCTGGGCTCACAGTGCCCCGCCCCCAACACGTGCTACCTCCAACGGAACTGACCCCGCTGGACCCTCACCTGCTCGGAGAATTTGGGTGAGGAGGCCAGCAGGTGAGCCGCCAGCCGCTGCTCCAGGAACACCTCCTTCTCACAGGCGTAACACCACACCCGAAACGTGGTCAGGTTCACTGTCAGGTTGTGCTTTTTCACCTGGAAGGCAAGATCGGACACGGTCAAGGATACTGAGGTGCCCAAGCCTGCAGCAGGCCACCTCAGTCCCAGCTCTGGCCAAGGCCCTGTCAGGACCGAGGCCTGCAGCTCCGAATCTGTCCCCCTCCAGCCCGGAAAGCTGAGAGCCGCCACTGAGCAAACGTGTGCTTGCACCTGCCTCCGCTCCGGCTCCCTCGCTGATTATTCCCATTTTACAGACACAGCCACTGCGGCCCAGAGCGGGCAGACGGAGCTGGGAGGCAGCGGGAGCTGGGCTGTGAGCTCGGGGCGGTCTGACCGCGAGCCTATGCTCCAGCCACCGCACTCACCTGTGCATGAATGGTGCTGTGGTCAGCAAAGGATTCCCCGCAGCCAACGTAGGGGCAGGTGACCTGGGGAGAGAGGGGAGGAGAGTGGATTGGGGCTGGCCAGGAGGACGGCGCCAGCACAGTAAGCTAGTGTCCCCCACCTCCCCTAAGGCAAGAGAAACAAAGGAAAAATGAGCACATGGGTCTACATCACACTAAAAAGCTTCTGCACAGCAAAGAAAACAATCATCAGAATGGAAAGGGAACCCACTATATGGGAGAACATAACTGCCAACAATACATCAGATAAGGGGTTAATTTCCAAAATATATAGACTATTCATACAATTCAACAAAAGGAAGACAAAGAACCCAATTAAAAAGTGGGCAGAGGACCTAAATAGACACCTCTCTAAACAGGACATAGAAATGGCCAAGAGACATATGAAAAAATGCTCAATGTCACTAATCATCAGAGAGATGCAAATTAAAACAACTATGAGGTATCACTTCACGCCTGTCAGAATGGCTGCCATCAACAAATCATCAAACAAGTGCTGGCGAGGGTGTGGAGAAAAGGGGACTCTAGCACACTGCTGGTGGGAATGCAGACTGCTGCAGCCACTATGGAAAACAATATGGTGTTACCTCAAAAAATTAAAAATTGAACTGCCATTTGACCCAGTGATCCCACTTCTAGGAATATATCCTAAGAAGCCTGAAACACCCATCAGAAGGAATATATGTACCCCTATGTTCATAGCAGCACTATTTACAATGGCTAAGATCTGGAAACAGCTTAAGTGTCCATCAGTAGATGAGTGGATAAAAAAGCTGTGGTACATATACACAATGGAGTACTATGCAGCTCTAAGAAAAAAAGATCTCTTATCCTTTGAGACAACATGGAGGGACCTGGAGAGTATTATCCTAAGCGAAACAAGCCAATCAGAGAAAGACAAATATCATATGATCTCACTTATTTATGGAATATAATGAATTAAACAAACTGATGAACAAAATAGTCCCAGAGACGTAGAAGTAGGGTACAGACTGACAAACCTTAGAAGAGGGGGTGGGGAGAGGAAAAAGATAAACTACAGAACTTATATGCATGTATACATAACCAATGGACATAGACAACAATGCTGGGGATGGGACGGGGGTGGGGGATTGGGAGGAGGGTGTCATTGGGGGAAAAAGGAGAAACATCTGTAACAGAAATAAATTAATAAAAACATTTTTTTAAAATTACCCGTAATTCCACCACCTACTAAAAACCATCATGTTATGATATATCCGTTAGCCTTTTTAGTAAACAAAAATAATCAAAACCCAACCAGATTTTACTGGATACTGTTTACGGCCATACACACTGCTAAGCCCATCACAGGCATCATCCCCTCAAATTATACCCCAACCCTACGGGGCGGGACAGTCATCAGTGCTGTGACCCTACTTTATGTGGGACCACTAACAGCACCAGGGCTCAGAGCAAGGTGCCAACATCAAGGCTCACAGGCTCGTGCGAGTAGAGAATCCTGCCTCTTATGCACATGGGACCATTTGTCCAGAATCTTCTCCAACCTGCTTCTTCCTCTTGCCATTTTTAATGATTGCCAAGACAGACAGCCAGGGACTCGCTGACTCTGGGGCCCTCTTGGCTTTGGAATCGCACCTGAGACATCCATGCTGTGTCCCTGCCCAAGGTTCCGGCAGTGCCTTGGGCACAGATGTTCCCACCCAGTCTAGCCGTGCTTCATGCCCCCAGCCGCCACAAGGAGCCTTTACCTGGAGACAGGCCCACAGGTTCGGCCCGGAAACACCGCACGACTGACAGGTTCCCTGTGTGAGGTGAAGGAGAAACAGCAAAGTATGACAGCCTGTGGGGACCCTCCCGGAGCCCCGGCCTGCTCCCGCCTCATGCGTGGCTCCACTGACTCAAACCTAAACGTCTCGGCTGGAGGCCTTGTTTGCCTCAGAAAGGCCCTCGCCCGACCACCAATCTAAACTCAGTTCCCATTTTACACTTGATTGTTTGCATTTCATTTTATTGTGTGCCTGCCGAAACATCTCCAATAAAATCATTTCAAGTTAGAGCCCTTCGTCGGTAATTGCATCACACCTTCTCCTCTTCCCTTTCTTCCCCTTCTAGACTATGGGCCCCGTGAAAAGGAGGTGGTGCAGTCGGTCTGCTCCTGCGACCTCAGAGTCTGGATCTTGGAGATCAGCATCTTTGTTGCCCACAGAAAACGCCCAGGTTACTGGTGGTCTGGGTGACAGAGCCTCTCCCTGTCTACCAATATCTCCCCTTGCTTTAATAACAGATACAAGAGTTGTGGCTCAGCTCTTAGCCAGCCAGCTGCAGACTGTTTCTCAGCCCTCCCCCCACACACCCGGTGATCATGGAGCTCAGTTCTAGTTAATGGGATGTCAGCGAAAGTGACATGCTCTGGCAGCTAAAGGACAGGGCGTGTGCTCCCTGGTGGAACGGGCGTGATGGCAGCTGGCTGCTGGGACACAGCCCAGAAGGCCTCCCAAGCAGATGCCAGCTTCGCCTTTTTCACAGAAGGATCAGCAGAGGCTGTTGGGGAGCCAGTTCTGCTGCTGCTCCACAAACATTTGTCCCCCAGAAACGCAGAGGCCCTAAGTGTGGGTCTCGGCCCCATAATCTCTGACCCTTTACCTTAGATTTGAGCAGCAAGTCGTCTTTGGTCACCTCCCCTATGGAGTCAAGGTGAGGGCAAAGGCCCCTAGAGTCCCCCATTCTGGCCTGTTAACCTAGGAAAACAGAGTTCTAGGTCAGAGGCGGCAGCCACTGGGGTCAAGGGCACGTTGGCCTTGAGTCCTGGCTCAACCACATTATCATCTGGTGAGCAGGAGATGCTACTTAACTCCTCTGAGCCTCACTCTCCTTGCCTGGGAAGCGGGCAAAGAGAACACCTACCCACGGGCTGCTTGGAGGCTGCACAATGGGTGCGTGAGGAACTGGTGAGGTCCGAGTCAGCAGGGCTGCACCAATACCACCTTCCCAGCTGCGATGCTGCACTACAGACACGCCGAAGAGGTGGTGCCACTGCGGGGGACCTGGTGAAGGGCACGTGGGAACTCCGGGTACATTTTTGGCAACTTCCTGCGAATTATAATGATTTCAAAAGATAATATTTAAAAATAAATAAATGGAGATTGCTCTCCCTCCTGCACCTTTCCCCCCCATCTCCCCCACCCTTTCCCCCCAAAGGGAAAAAATAGAAAATAAAAATAAATAACTGAATAAATGCTCCCCCCCAATATTTTAGCAGAAAGCATAACCAGGAACCTGACTGCTAATTCTAGCTCCAAACTCTTGCCAAGAAAGGTCCAAACCAACCAACAATGTAAGTGGAGTCGAGACTGGTTCAAGGAAAGGCAGAGGCCATGTGCCCACTGGAGGGAGGAGGACCCTCAGACCCCTCCCACAAGCCACTTCCCCACCCCAAATGGTCAGCCAGGCATCCCGGACTCCCGGCCAACACAGGAGTTGCTGGTGTGGACTGGATGCCAGGACCAGCCTCTGCTCTCCGGGCATCGTTTCATTAACAACTTGCCCAGCAATCTTTGAGGCAGTGCCAGCCAGCCCAGTTTTCCAGACCGGGAAAGGGGCTCCTCCTTGGCCAGTTCGCACAGACAGGGGTGCTAGAGCTAACGCTGAAACCCACGTCCACCAGACTCCGCAGGCCCCTGCTCAGCTCGCTCCCTCTAACTCCCGTCGAGCACGCACACAGGCGGAAGTCGACAGGACTGCAGCACAGCGCCTCCCGTGGGGTCACCTAGCTCCAACCGCTCATCATGGCCTGCTCTGCTTTGCGTCCTCTCGACCTCCCACTTCCTCTTTTCTGCAGCAACTCCCAGACATCACATCATGTCGTTCTTGTATGCTTTCTAAAAGAGGACTTCAAAAGTGAAGAAAATACCATAAACAATACCAACATACCAATTCCATTATTTTACCTGAAAAGAAAAACCCATACTCCCTCCTCAGCCGGTGCCTAAGAGCTCCACCTGAGTGGGGGAGGCTGGGGGCCACCTCTGTGTACGGCGACACCCCCAAGAAGCAGCCAATAGCCACATGCTCTGCTGACAACAGTGGTGGCTGCGGTGGGCTGGAGGGCGAGGCCTCTGGCAGGAGCCTGGGAGGAAGCCGGAGTACTCCGGGCAGTTCAGCTGCTTTCGGATCACCCGGCACTGACCAGCAGTGCCAGCGGGCCCTTCGCCAGTCACTGCTGGGCATTACCTTTGCGATTCCAAGAGGAGAGACCTCAAGGGTCTGCAGAAGGCCACGGGCCTCTCCAGCTCTTGCCTTCTGTGTAGGACAGAGGCTCGGTCCCTTCCCACATGCCACTGGGACCCTCAGATCATCCCAATGACCCTGTGCTGCTCAGAACCCAACCCCCAAGTCTGGAGCAACCCCAGGCTACAGGCACAACCAGCGCACGCATGTCATCATTGCCCCTTTCTCGGGGCGGAGGGGGGCAGTCTCCAAAGATGGGCACTTCAAAGAGGGAGAGACAATGAGAGGCTAACATTTAAACGGTCACATTACAATGACAGGGTTCAAGGTTTCAATTCCAAGCCCCTCACGGAAGGCAGATTTTCGGTTTTTCACCGTTTGCCCCCAGGTCGAGTCAGCAAACTGCCACTTTCCCACACTGCTCCGAGCCGCAGTAGGTGGTTGGTTGGGTTTTTTTTTTTTTAATTGATTTTTTTTTAAATCCTCACCCAAGGATATTTTCCCATTGATTTTCAGATAGAGTGGGAGGGAGGGAGGGAGAGAGAAACATGGATGTGAGAGAGACACATCAGTTGGCTGCCTCCTACACGACCCTGACCAGGGCCGGGGATCAAACAGCAATCGAGTTATGTGCCCTTGACTGGAATCAAACCTGCAACTCTTTGGTCTGAGGGCCGATAGTCTAACCACTGAGCCAAACCAGCCAGGGCTAAAAACATATTTTTAAAAATTCTTAGCAGGAGGGTCCTACAAACATCCTTGGCCTACTGCCAGTCTGCTGCCCCCTGTTGTAAGCCACTGCCATTGCACCTCACCAAGAGAAGCGGGGTCGCTCATTTCACCCCCCACTGCACCCCAGTCACCAGCAGCTTCGGAAGGCACACAGCAGTGCCGACGTGGCCCCAGCTGTCTCTAAGGAGGTAATCAAGGCCGTACACAAAGACAGAACACGCTCGACACATCTGCTTTTGGCAACTCGATCCCCTTCCTCAACGTGGGCTGAGAAACTGTTCCAGGTAAAAGGCCCGGCCAGTGTGGCTCAGTGGTTGAGTGTGGGCCCAGGCACCAAGAGGGTCGCTGGTTCGATTCCCAGTCAGGGCACATGCCCAGGCTGTGGGCCCAATCCCCAGTGGGGGGCATGCAGGAGGCGGCCAATCGATGTTCTTTCTCATCGATGTTTCTATCTCTCTCTCCCTTCCTCTCTAAAATTAATAAAGGAAAAAAATTTAAAAAGAGGTATGACAAAATCAGATCCTAGATTAATGGGATAAAGGGCATTAGTGGGATGACTGACAGATTTGAATATGGACTAGATATTAGATAACAGTGTTTGTTGTGGACTGAATTGTGCCCCCCCAACTTTATATATTGAAGCCCTAACCCCCAGCACCTTAGAATGTAAATTTATTTGGAGACAGGGTCTTTAAAGAGTTGATTAAGTTCAAAGGAGGTCTTTAGAGTAGGCCTGAATCCAGTGTGACCGGTGTCCTTATAAGAGGAGGAAATATGGGCACACAAGGTAACTCCAAGGACGCACACGCAGGACAGACCACGTGAGGACACAAGAGGGTAGCCAACTACAAGCCAAGGGAAAGAGGCCTCAGAAGAAACAAAATCTCTTGACACCTTGATCTTGAACTTCCAGGCTCTGGAACTATGAGAAAATAGATTTCAGCTGTTGAAATCACCCAGCCTGTGGTACTTTACGGCAGCCCTGGTAGACTAACATGGTGTTACATCAACATTAACGTTTCTGAAGATTGAAACTGTTTGCTGGTTCTGTATTATAATGTCCTTGGTCTTAGATGTTCCCCCTGAAGTATTTAGGGTAACGAGTCATGATATTTGCAACCTACTCTTAAATGGATCAGCAATAATAACGATGATGATAATGAGAACATAAATATACAGTGTAAAATAATAATTACTGCATCTAGATAAGGATATGAATGAGATTTCATTCTATTATTTTTGTAACTTTACTGTAAGTTTGATTTTTTCCCCTCAAAATAGAAGCTTTTTAAAGATGCCCTTTCTCTCACTTAAAGAGCAGGGAGGGGGTCTTTGGGAAAAGGTAACCCTGATTCAATAGCAGGAGCTCCAGGATCCAGCACTTACTCTGAGCCAGGTGCGATGCCCACCTGCACTCCCAGGTAAGGACTGCTGTTCCTCACCTTCCAGAGGAAGAACGGAGCCTCCGGGAAGGGAAGCCACTTGCTGAGGCCACACGGTGAGGAAGTGACATAGTTGCAAGTGAGCCAGGTGTGTCTGCCTTCAGACCTTTCCCACCCCACCCTCAGTGCAAATAAATGGAGTGCACACAGTAGGCATTTAATAAAGAGTGAAAGGGGAAGACAACTGCACTGCTGGGAGAACTGGAGCCTGGGAGCAGGCCCTCCTGAGAGCAGCTGGTTGACTGTGCTGCTGGGAGTCAGTGAGGTGCCTGCCCCACAGCCAGTGCCCAAAATGCCAGTCGGAGGGGTGGTGCCTTCCCAAAGCACCCACAGCACCTCTCCGTCCTGACCCACCAGAACTGCCTGCCTCTTCTCCGAGGATGAAAAAGCAGGAGGAAAAGAGGCAGACGGGTAGGTCTGGCAGAGAGCCCGCCCATTTAGGGCCCGGGTGAGGCTTCCAAGACACTTCCTCCTGAATAAGAGCAGGCACCTTCCCCTCCCCGGGGCCTGCCTCCCCAGGGACGCAGGCAGGCAGGCAGGCGGTGCAGCCAGGCCTGGCACCAGCTGCTGAGACCAGGCCTCGGGTGCCCATTACTCATCATTTTCCTGGAGGTTCTAGCTACATCCTCCTCCAGCCAGGAGCCAAATTCCTCAGGACAGGAAAGGTGACACTGCCAAACCCCGCACAGACACAAGGACACCCCCGACCTGGTCCTCACCACATGAACCATCCCATACCCCACGCACCTGCACGTCTCTGCCCCTCAGAACATGTACCCTTTCCATCCTCCTGCCCTCGTTTCTCCAGCAGACTTCTAAGCAACTTCATTTTCCTTAACTCCCCAGTATATTCCTTCCTTCAGCCCAGTCTTAATTTGCCGAGAGTCCACCATCCTTCTGACTCTCAAAGCAGAACTGTCAGCTTCCTCCTGCCTTGGCAAGTCCTGCTTCCCACACACCTCGTTATCCTCATTGGCCTGCCCCACCTTGTCCCCGCCTGAATGGCCCGTGTCCTGAACTGATACTAACAGAACTCACTAAATCCTCCTAACCACCTTGGGGGTTGGCAACATTGGAAGCCAAATCCATCTCCACCGCCACCACTAAAGGAGGAATGACTGGGGCTCAGAGAGGTAGAGTAACTGGCTGGAGGTCACACCACTACGACACAGCTTTTGACCAAAGCCAAAAGGCTGTTCTGAGAAGTCCGGAGTCTACCGGAGAAGGCCATTTGCCTCAGTCCAGGGGAGAGAACAGCAATCTTAGAGGAAGCTGTGCCAGAGAAAAGTAAGGCATTCCAGAAATGCTGCCCAGCTTCAGAACGGTCTTCCAGAAAAGAGAACCAAAAACAGTCTCCCTCAGCCTGTCCCTCCCGCCCCTAGCCAATGAGTTGTAACCACACCCGCAGAAACACGAACTGAACTGCTCCTGTGCCAGGCACTGTGCACAACCTGCAGCAGAGGTAGGCCTGCGACCATCCCTGCTCCACCCTCCAGCCGTGTAAACCGAGGCACGGATTGCCTCCCTGAACCCCGGTGTCTCATTTGCAAAATGAAAAATAACTGAATGGACTTCACAGGCTTGTTGGGAGAGTTCAGTGAGATAATACTTAGCTCAGTACCTGCCACATAGTGAGGCTAAGAGGTAGGTAGAGCTTTGGAAGGAAAGGGTCCACCTATAATGAGAACAGGAAAACTAAGGGGCTCCTAAAAGGAAAACTATTTAAGGGAAAACTATTTAAGCAGTCTTCTAAGCTGCTATTTATGCACTTAGTTATTTCCTAAGCGTTTGTTGATGGTCGTATTTCAAATAAACTTAATCCTCACAGCATCCTGGGGTGGAAAGAGCAAAGGGCCAAGCGACAGTCCTCGTGACAAAGGACGAAAACAAGGCCCCCGAAGTCCCGGGAGGCGGCGGACAGACCCACAAGGGGCGGCCCTATGCCTCAAAACCCTTCAAAACATGAGACGCGCCTCTCCTCCAGGAGAGGTAGCTGGGGTCATTTTTGGCGGGGCAGTTGGCGTTGGGACTGTAATTAAGCACCACTAATAAATGGTCATCTTTTGTCCTTAAAGGCAAAAACACACGTCAGGGCCCAGACCCAGGGGAAACAAAAGTCAGCGCCCCGAGACGCCACACGCGTGCTTTCAACGCTGGGTCAGGCCCTGGCAGAATAAAAGAGATGGCGGCCCTGTCCCGGAGAAGCAACGAGTCCCCGGAAGCTCGAAGTGGGGCGACGGGACCCCAGAGTACCCCCTGGACGACGCCCGGAGGAGGGGAGGGGTGACGACGGCCGGGGGTTCCCGGGCTCGGATCACCTGGCCTCGGCGTTTAGCGCACTCGTCGAGGCCAAGCCCCTGTCGGCCGGGATCCGGGCTGGGGTCGCCCTGCTGAGAGAGGCCCGGCCCCCTGGAGCAGCCGGCAGTAGCCTCAAACTCACCTGCCTTCGCGACCGCGCCACCGCAGCCTGTCAGTCAAACGCGCTCGGCTGAGCCGCGCACGGTCGTGGGACCCGGCCGGCCTGGCCCCGCCTCCTCCCCCTCGGCTGCCCAATCGAGAGAGGCCTACGCTACCGGTGGGGCGTGGCTACTGGGCAGTGCGGGACGGGTGGAGCCAAGCGGGCTTGGGGCGGGGCCCCGCGGGGCCGGCGCTCTGACAGCATTGCTGCGCGCCGGAAGCGTCTAGGCCGCGGCGCCCCGGGCAGCGGCTGCACCGCGGAGCCGGCGCCACCATGCCGGTCACCGGGAAGACTTTCCGCCGGCGCCGGGCTGACTCGGAGTCGGAGGAAGATGAACAGGACTCAGAAGAGGTTCGGTGCGTTTGGAGCGGGGTTTCCAATGGGCAGGGAAAGAGAAGCTGGCTTGGGGACTCCCCACCGGCCAGGCGCCTCGTTGATAACATTGGTAATTGTGAAACGGTGTTGTCCCCTTCTGCAGACGAAGAAATGGAGGCTTCTAGGGGTGAGGCCGCCACCCCCAAGGCCGCATAATTGGAAGAGGTGTCCCCGGGATAGGCAGTGGATCTGATTCCCGGCGGGTCTAGGCGCAGTTCGCTTTCTGGACCACTGTGCCGGCAGCGGCAGCAGCAGCCGGCTGGGGTGCCTGTCGAAGCTGCTGTTTGACTCCGAGTTCCGCGGAGGGTCCCTCAACCTGTACCTTGCCTTTTTTCAGATTAAAACTGGAAGAGACACGAGAGGTGCAGAACTTGAGGAAGAGGCCCAATGGAGTGAGGTGGGTACCATGGGGGACCCGGAGGAGGAGAAGGTGGGGATGACCGCCACGCCCCCGACTGGGTCGCTATCACAAAATATCTCCTCTGACATGGCCCCTTTTAACCAGGAGATGCCTGAGCCGTGTGGTCTTAAAGTTTGCTCCAGAAGTGCAGAAACAGGTCACTAACTCGTGTTTTTATTGCACCCAATTAATTATGAAAGCACATTGAGTGTTAAGAGTTTGAAAAATTTAGAAAAGTATAATCAAGAAAATAAACAGCACTCATAAATCTCCCATCCAAAGGTAACCAGTGTTAACATTTAATGTTCTTTTCGATCTGTCTTCTTTATCTCTCTTGTAAAGAATGGTGAGGCCCTGGCCGATTTGGTTCAGTTGTTAGAGTGTCAGCCCACAGATCAAAGAGTCACGGTTTCGATTGGCGTCAAGGGCAGTACTCGGTTGCGATCCCTCACCGAGGGCGCTGAGGGAGGCAACTAGTCGATGTGTTGCTCTCACATCAGATGTTTTTCTCTCTTTCTACCCCCTCTCTCTTCCTCCCTCTCTAGTTGAGATAAATAGAAAGAAAAAAAAAATCCTCAGGTGAGAATTTAAAAAGAAAGAATGGTGAGAACTTTTATTCTATTCTGTTTTCAACTCATTATGACATTGTGGACATTCACTCACTTTTCAGATTATTTTTCCAAAAACCTTTTTAATGGCTATATAATACTCCACCACAAGTATTTACCATAATTTAACTAATTCCCTATTTGAGGATTTGTGGATCATTTTGTAAATTTTCATCAAATAAGGCTGCAATAGTATTTTCCTACTCTTGTCTTTAGCTTCATTTACCCTGAAAGCAAAAATCTTAGAAATGAGATTTCCAAGCCAAGATAATGCCAAATGGCTTTATAGAAAGGTTTACCTCTTCACCCGCCTCCCCTCCCCAGCATCTAAAGTGTTTGTTGAGCCCTGTTTTATCCTTTAAAAAAAAATGTTACTGTTTTTTTTTGAGAGAGAAACATCAATCAGTTGCTTCCCATACGTTCCCTGACTGGCGATTGAACCCTCAACCTGGGTATGTGCTCTGACAGGGAATTGAACCCGCCACCCTTTGGTGTATCGGACAGTGTTCCAACCAACTGAGCCACACCGGCCAGGGCTACCCTGTTTTATTTTGGTAGGCTTTCCCAGCTGCTTTGGTGCCCACCCCTCAGATCTCACCCTTGCATTAATATTGCAATCTACAAACTTCCTAAACATTCTCTCTCATCTCTGAAATGTGCCATTTTTTCCTCCCTCCCTTTTCTTTTTGGTTTTACTCAGTGCCGTGGCCCTGCTAGTAGGAGAGAAGGTACAAGAAGAGACCACTCTAGTGGTAAGTTGTGGGGTACCCCCCCGGAAGATGTGGGTGCTAGTCAGTGGATGATTGTGTTTTCTTAAGAAAATTCCTTGCCAATTATATAGATATTGCTTCTTAGCTGTATTTACTTTCTCCAGGATGATCCCTTTCAGATGAAGACAGGTGGTATGGTGGACATGAAGAAACTGAAGGAAAGGGGCAAAGAGAAGTAAGTGCAGGACACACTAAGATACAGACTCATCTGAAGTCTCTGCTGGGGTCTGTGTGCCCCAGAGACTTGGGCCTGAAGCAGTAGCGTTAGTGGGACATCTGCAGGTATCCTTAGTGCTTTTTAACTACATATAGTTTAAAAACAAAAGAAAATAAAAGTCTTTAAAAGTTAACTTAGACACAGATACACTCCTTTTGTAAAGGTGCATTGTTTATTGTCTTTCAAATCCATGTGGAAGTTTTCTTTTTAAATAAAAGAAATATATAAAATAAAATTATAAAAATAATACATTCAAACAATACAAAAGTAAAAAATAAAAGTATCTGCTAATTCCCCAGAGGAATCTCCAAAGGCCAACAGTTCGCATGCATATGTGTACTTTACTTACATATCATATATTTTTCCCTCAGCTATAAAGAGGATATCACACTTTTTTGTTGTGTACTTGTTTTATTGGTGTAACATCAAGCTCAGCCTCACTGAGTTGTGACTTTAAGGCTCTGCTTCACTGTTCTCTCCTTTTAGGATCAGTGAAGAAGAAGACCTCCACCTGGGGACATCATTTTCTGCAGAAACCAACCGAAGGGATGAGGACGCCGACATGTAGGTGTCAGTCTGGCTGTGAGCGATCGGTGGTGGGCTCCAGCCAGACACAGTCCAAGATATTTAGTCACAGATGACATTTCTCGAGTTATCCAAACACATCAGTATTGGTTCCTCTTGGCCCACCAGCCAGGCTTGAAAACTTTGAAAAGGTCTGAAAAGTTCTATAAAAGTGGTTCTTGAGATTTTAGATTCCTTGACTAGTAATATTTCCCTAAAACACTGCAGGGATGAACAGTGAACTTTTTATTTTGACCAGCAAGGCTGTTAAACAACTACCTTCTCCCATTATCTTTCTGTCCTCAAAGAACCTTACATAGAATAGCACCAGTAGATTGGTAGGACATAATTTCATAATGTAGGTTGGTGCTTTAAGTTGTAAATTTTAGCTTGATGGAAAAACTGAAGTTATTTATTTATATATATTTATATATGTGTGTGTGTATACTTATTTATTTATTTATTTATTTATTTATAATCCTCGCCCGAGGATTTTTTTTTTCTTTTTTTTTTGGTACATGCCCCTAGCAGGAACCGAACCCGGGACTCTCTGGTCTGCAGGCCAGTGTTCCAATTGCTGAGCCAAACTGGCCAGGGCAAGGGTATTTTTCTATTTATCTTCAAAGAGAGAGGGAGGGAGAGAGTGAGAAACATTAATGTCTGAGATACACATTGAATGGTTGCCTCCCGCATGACCCTGACCAGGGCCAGGAATGAATCACAACCGAGGTACATGCCCTTGGCTGGAATCGAACTTGCGACTCATTGGTCCAGAGGCTGATGCTCTGACTGCTGAGCCAGACTGACCAGGGCTGAAGTTATTTTTATTTTTCCCACCACTCCACGGACTGACGAAAACTTCATCATGGAGCATCAGCGCTCTGCGGGCCAATGCTGGGGACCACTAATCTAAAAGATGCCTGCTGTGAGCTTCCTGCCCCTTCCTGAGACCTGTGGATTTCTTGATTCAGGATGAAGTATATTGAGACAGAGCTGAAGAAGAGGAAAGGGATCGTGGAACATGAAGAGCAGAAAGTAAAGCCCAAGAATGCTGAGGACTGTCTTTACGAACTTCCAGAAAACATCCGCGTTTCCTCAGCAAAGAAGACGGAGGAAATGCTTTCCAACCAGATGCTGAGCGGCATCCCCGAGGTGGACCTAGGCATCGAGTAGGTTTCAGACCCATGGCCTCACCTCTCCTGCCCCTCGGCTGAAGGAGGAGCTCTCTGCTTTCCTGTTAAAAGTTAAGGGGACTGTGTCTTACCTGTCTCCTTGGAAACCCACATGAACTTATGTCCTCTGGTGGGCTGAGATGGTTGTCCCCGGGAGTTCCTCTGAAGAGTTGGGCAGAGTAGTTAAAAACACTTAAGGGGTCCTGACTGCTGACAGCCAGTGTTTGTTTTGATTTAGCCTTTTTCACAGCTCTTGAGCTGTTCCAGTTAGGCCCTTGTATTCTGTTTCATTCGAGCAGGAGCAATGCTCAAGGCTTAGCCACCCCATGACCCTCCCCTCATTTTTACTACAGAACATCTGCCCTAAAAGGGGACTGTCGTGGAGGAAGTACAGTGGTCAGATCATCTTCGGGTGGAGTAGAAAGTTGGGAGACCTCTGGGTTCTCACCTCTTTTCTGGCCTTTCTAGCAGTTCTTTTTACTTCTTGAGGCTCAGTTTCCTCTCGATCAGAAGAGAGTTACTCCCGCGTTTCTGATAGCAGCGAGAGCTCCATGAGAACGTGGCTGTAAGGGAGTCGGTACACTGTGTGGAGTTGGGTCCCAGGAAAGATGATTTCCTTATGCAGTGGTGGGCTGCCAGCCTCACCTGTCACTTCCATCTGAGGACCAGCGGTGCGGTGATCTAATTATGTGGCATGGCTCCTTTCTCCCCTTAGTGCTAAAATAAAAAATATCATTTCTACGGAGGATGCCAAGGCCCGTCTGCTAGCAGAGCAGCAGAACAAGAAGAAAGACAGTGAGACCTCCTTCGTGCCCACCAACATGGCGGTGAATTACGTGCAGCACAACCGATGTAAGCCCCTCTCGCATCCCTACTTCATTGATTTGAGGTCCCGGGTTCCCATACTTTGTCTGATATGTCCCCTGGTCTCTTTGATCCAGTTTATCACGAGGAGCTCAATGCCCCCATACGGAGAAACAAAGAAGAACCCAAAGCCCGTCCCTTGAGAGTGGGTGACACAGAGAAGCCAGAGCCTGATCGTGAGTACAGCAGTGGCCTCAAAGCTGCCCAGAGTGGTCACATCACTCGGGGGCCTGTGGAGGCAGGGTGAGACTCAGTGGGTATGGAGCTCTGGCTTCAGGGCCAGGGCATCTGGGTTTTGGTCCGTGCTCTGGATTGTGGCCTTGTGCCTTCCGCTTTGCAAGCCTCGGTTTCCTCATCTACAAAATGGGAATAGTAATAAAACCTACCATGTGGGGTTGCTCTGAGGATTCACTGGGCTATCAAATAGAGAGACTTAAAAAATTAGAAAAATTTGCCCTGGCCAGTTTGCCTCAGTGGTGGAGCATGGGCCTGTAGACCAATGAGTCTTGGGTTCGATTCCTGGTCAAGGTTGTACGGGAGGCAGCCAGTCAATGTGTCTCTCTCACATTGATATTTCTCTCTCTCCCTCACTTTCTCTGACTATTGGAAGATAAGTAGAAAAATATCCTCGGGTAAAGATTTAAAAAAATAATTAGAAAATTTCAATAAATGAAAGGTTATTCATGCCTGGTCGCTGTGGCTCAGTGGATTGAGCATTGTCCCATGGACTAAGAGGTCCCAGTTCGATTCCCGTTCATGGCATGTGCCGGGGTTGCAGGCTCCATCCTAAGGAGGGGCCGTGCAGGAGGCAGCCAGTCGATGTTTCTTTCTCACAACGATGTTTCTCCCTCTCTGAAAACATCAATAAAATATTTATAAAAAACAAGTTATTCATAATTTCACCACCCAAAGACGACCACTGTTAACATTTTTTGTACAACCTTTCAGGCTTTAATAAATGTTCACATATAGGAAACTGTATGTACACTTACTAGGATCTCAGCGTTTTCCTCAGTAGGCTGCCCTGCAAGTCTCTCCATGTCAGGAAACACTTTTTCTTTTTCAAAGGCCATATCACGTTCCACTGGAAAGAGATGTCCTACAGTCTGTCCATTTCCCTCCGGCTGGCGCTTAGGTTGATTCCCTTTTCCCGTTAAACACTGCTTGGATGCTCATTCTTGTCTACAACACGTCCGTAGACTACATTCTGAGAAGTCACCAAGTGGTCCTCTAGAGGTGTGATGCTCATCGTTCTCCCGCCAGCAGCGTCCCACAGTGCCCTTCCCACATGGTCACCTGCACTGGTGGCGTCGTCATTTTATCAACAATGGGATGATTCTGAGGAAATGCGGAATTTGCTGAGGCTTCTGAAAAGCCTCTGATTCTTCTTTCTTACTTGGGAAATCCTTTTCTTAACGTCTTGGTTTTCTAGTCTTTGATTCCCAAAGAGCTTTGTGTTAAACACATGGTAAGCAAGGGCTTTGGAGTCACCAGACTTGGGCTCAACTCTCAGCCTACCTTTACCGCTTGAGCAAGTCACCTAACCTCTCTGAGCAAAGATGGAAATATGCCCCTGCTAGGATTGCTGTGAGGGTTCAAGGCAGTCATGTCTAAAGGGATTTAGCGCCATGCCTTGTACATAGTCAAACTCAATGCAGCATGGCCACTACAGCTCACCTATCTGGATGCTGATGTCAGCGTAGTTTGGCTGGCCCCTGTAGGCACTGGAGCGCCTGTGGAGAATGGTGCTCATCCACGTGGACCTAAAGGCTGTCAGTGACTTCCAGTATGGCCAATAGCTTTTCCTCTTTTCCTTCACAGGGTCCCCCCCGAGCCGCAAGCGGCCTGCTAATGAGAAGGCCACTGATGACTATCACTATGAGAAGTTCAAGAAGATGAACAGGCGGTACTGAGGGTGGCTAAGGGGAGATGTGCAGAATGGGATGTAAGTAGCACTGTCCCACATCCCCCATGATAAGAGGCTTCCTGGACAGCAAACTGAGCATTTGCTAGCAGACTGTTCCACACACAGGCTCTACTTGTCTAGCTTCTTACCTGCTGGATTTTTCAGGCTCTGAATTTGTAACCTTTGAAACAAGACAATATGTTGTTTTCTTATTTGGGGCAAACTGTTCTTGTGAGCGTTATTAAATCTTGTTTGTAAATATGTTGATTTTCTCTTAATATTTGCCCTGGCTCAGGAGGAAAGAGTTGTGTGTGTTCAGGGTGAGATAATATTGTGTTTTTATTATTATGTGTAATCATGTCTTCTACTTCCAATAATCTGGAATGGATTTCAGAAATGCATCCTTCACTGTTCCCAGTGGATCCAGCAGACAGAAGAAAAACCTAGGATGGAATCAAGAGGACACTGGTGCCCTGGCCAGTTTGGCTCAGTGGTTTGAGCATCGGCCCATTGACTAAAGAGTCCTGGGTTTGATTCCGGCCAAGGGCACATATCTCGGTTGTGGTTCGTCCCCGGCTTCGGTTGGGATCGTGTGGGTGGCAACCCATTGATGTATCTCTCTCACATCGATGTTTCTCTCTCTCTCTCTTCCTCCCATCCTCCCTCCCATTCTATCTAAAGATGAATGGAAGAATATCCTCTGGTGAGGATTAAAAAATAAAGTAAAAATAAAAGGACATTGATATTTTCTGACTTTTACAAGTTACCTGTTTCTTTTCATTAAAAGAAAAAACCACCTGTCTCTGTCACTTCCTCACTTTGGCATTAAATATGAAATGAATCTAGCCTTCTTGTTCGTCTTGTGTCTCCTCCCACCAGCGTGGGGCACTGAGTTCAGACCGGAGGTTGGGCAGCTCAAACGCAGAACTGAATGACTGAGAGGGCGCTGCTCATGTGATTCAGGAGAGCAGACAGGCTCCCACTTCTTAGCTGCCAAGTACAGTGCCACTTGTGCTGTCATTTTTCCTTAGGCATTTGAACAGTTTGGGATGAGGAAATAACAGGTCTGATGATTTCTGGGCTGATTAGAGTGTGCATTGTGGTAAGAGAAGTTTGGTTTTGGAATCAGATCTGAGCCCTGCTCACAGCTTATTATTATATCATTGGGCAAAGGCCTTTCCCTCAGAGTCTCAGTTTTCTCATCTGTAAAATGGAGATAATTTGTTTTTTTCCCGCTCCAGTAGAATGCAAGGTGAAGGTGAACACAGGAATCATGTATGCTTAATTTTTTTCTTGAATCTCCAGGCTCAAGTCCATAATGGGACACATAGACAATTCTCAAAACTCGGAATGAATGAGTGGCAATAACTATAGTGGAGAAACCTGACAACCACTACCTCATCCAGGGACAAAGGTCAACATCAGTAGTCATAAATCATGTTGATAGTCTGCAACCCTGATATAATGTTATAAAAACAGTGCTTTACCTCTGTGAAGTATATTCATCCCCAAAACCATAGCCTCAGTCTAACTATGAGACAAACATTGGGATTTCAATCGTGGGGCGTCCTACCAAAGATTTTACCAGTACTCCCCCAAACTGTCAAGGTCATCAAAACTGAGGAAAGTTTGAAAAAAACCACAGACTAAGGAGCTGGGACAACTAAATACAATGTGGTTTCTTGGATGGGTGCCTGGATCAGAAACAGGACAGTAGATAAAAACTAAGGAACTATCTGGACAAACTTGTTATAGCAACACAGGTTCGTATGTAGCAAGTGTAACATACAGATGTTAATAAGAGGGGAAACTATGTGCCAGATCGGAGGGGAGGCGTATGCCTCTCTCCGCACTGTCTTTTAATTTTTCTGTAAATCTAAAAAAAAAATTTCTTTTTAACTTAAAAAGATGTGGCCCAGCGGCTTCCGGCGCCCACCTCCGGAAGCCAAGGGCTGTGCCCCTCACAAAGATGGCGGCGCCGGCGGCGCGACGAGTCCCGCCCGGTGCAAAGATGGCGGCGGCGAGGGGGAGGAGCCGGAAGCGCGGTCTGCCGGGTCCGCGCAGCGCTCGAGCACGCGCCGGGCGGCGGGGGCTCCGGGCATGAAGCTGGGCCGGGCTGCTCTGGGCCTGTTGCTGCTGGTGTCGGGGGTGGCGCGGGCGGTGGAGCCCATCAGCCTGGGACTGGCCCTGGCCGGCGTCCTCACCAGCTACATCTCCTACCCGCGCCTCTACTGCCTCTTCACTGAGTGCTGCGGCCAGAAGCGAAGCCTCAGCCGGGAAGGTGGGGCGGGGCGGGGGCTGGCGCCCGGGCTGGGCGGCGGTCGGGGCCTGGAGGGCAGGGAGCCGGGGCAGAGCGGAGGCCGGCGGGGCCGGGACCCGGAACCGGGGCGGCCGGGGATGTGGGGTGGGGCCTGGCTCCTGGGCCACCTCCAGGGACAGCGCGGACTTCGGTCGGACACTTAGGAGCTGCAGGTTGGGCTGCTTCACGCAGAAACGGGGGTGTGCACCGTTGTAAACTTCTCCAAAGAGAGTCGAGGTCCTTCCTGGCCGGAGACAGGAAGGATGGTGGGGACTCTTCCGGCGCTCACCGTGGGTGCCGAGCTGCCGTCCTGTTCCTGCGCGGCCCTGGGGCGGGGGGAGCAGATCAGGGGTCGGGGTGCACGCTGGTGGCGGAGGCAGTAAAGCCAAGGACCCCTTCGGGAAGGAGCCTGGCTCCTGCCAGGGCTGTGGAACGGGCAGCACCAGCAGAGGGAGGGCTCCCAGATCCACCTTCCATCCCTGGGCCAAGGTGCCTGAAGAGCTTTGCCAGCCGCGTGTCCTTCACCCCTTCTCTGATTGGCTTTGTTTTTCCCAGTGCTGCAGAAGGATCTGGACAGCAAGCTCTTTGGACAGCATCTTGCAAAGAAAGTCATCTTAAGTGCCTTGTCTGGCTTCATAAGCAACCCGAAGCCCAAGAAACCTCTCACCCTCTCCCTACACGGGTGGACCGGCACCGGCAAAAACTTTGCCAGCAAGATCATCGCGGAGAATATTTATGACGGTGGTTTGAACAGTCACTATGTCCACCTGTTCGTGGCCACACTGCACTTTCCCCACGCCGCCAACATCACCCTGTACAAGGCAAGCGCAGGAGTTTGGAATCTTTCCTGGATGCTGCTGGGTTTGGGGTTTCTTGGTTGTGCAGTGGGATTTGGGAATTGCTTGTTAAAATGAGTGGACCCTGCCCACCGGTGTGGCTCAGTGGCTGAGTGTGGACCTATGCATCCAGAGGTCCTTGGTTCAGGGCACATGCCCAGGTGGGGGGGCTTGCAGGAGGCTGCCAGTTGATGTTCTCTCTCATCAATGTTTCTGTTTCTCCCTCTCTCTTCTTCTCTCTCTCTAAGGTCAACGTAAAGAAAAAATATATTTTTTAAAATGAGCGAACCCTGAAAATAGCTACAAATGAAAGTTACAGAAGGTTTCAGATGCATGGAGCAGTTACACTATCAAACTTTTTGGTTTCCAAAAACAGGCCCAGTGTGATACTCATTTTAGTAAGTAGGGTCAGAGGATTTTAGAGATGGACATGATCAAATCCAACTTAAAGATCACCGAATCTAACTCATTTTGTAAAAGAGGAAATATTTCCAGAGAGGCCTAAGTTTGTTTACCTTGCAGTGTTGCAAACGGCTTTTACTGTTTACGTCACTGGTTAACAGCCTGGGCTTTGGTGGCGGCACACCTGGATCTGAGTCCTAACTCTCCCACCTACCAGCTGTGTAATCTTGCAAAAGTTGCCTGACCTCTCCTGAGACTCAGGTTCTTCATCTGTAAAGTGAGGGTGGTGAGAATTCAGTGAGCTGTCAGGTGTGTCATGGTACCTGGCACATGAGCGTTCAAATAAGTGTTAACTGTCATCTATTTAAATCCATGTAACAGACCTACGACATGGCAAGACACTCAGCAATTTAGCCCTCACCTATGTAAATATTTTTCCCTTCTACTTGGGTGAACATGAGGGTCACCAACTGTCCAGGGCCCCCAGGATATGGGATTTTCAGTGGGAAAGTTCCAGGCAAATTGTGACAAGTTGGTCATCCCAGTTAGTATTCAGGCTCTGCTACTTCATAGCTGTGTGATTTTGGGCAAATTACTTAACCTCTCTTGCTTTAATTTTTTCAGCTGTCAAATAGGGAATGCAGTAGTGTTCTTTTGTGCACAACTTTGATGGGTTTTGGGAGGTCGCTATAAAACGTTACGTGAACAGTGCTTAGAACAGTGGCTGGCCTGTAGTGAGTGCTCAATACAGGTTCTCTGTTACTGCCTGGAAATCGGGGTAGCAGAGTGGGAAAACCTTGGCAGCTGCAGCCGAGCAGATCTGAGTGAATCCTTGTTTAAAAAAAATTTCTAATTGATTTTAGAGAGATAGGAACATCAGTGAGAGAGAAACATCCATTGGTTGCCTCCTGCATTCCCCCTACTGGAGATCAAGCCCAAAACTTGGCATGTACCCTGACCTAGAATCAAGCTGGCAACCTCTTGGTGCATGAGACAAGGCTCAACCACTGAGCCACATGCTCTCCTGAGGTTCCTCTGAATCGAAGCTAGTCCCTCTGTAGAACAGAATTACTACTTGAGACAGATAATGAAACATTGTAACCATGGTCATAGTAGCTAAATAAAAACCCAAATCATAAGAAGTCAAGACCCACATTGTAACTTCTAGACTCTTCCTCAGAAAACAGCTACTTTCTCCTCTTCACCTGGCAGGGGGAAAATATAGAAAAACATCATAGCTCAAATTTCTGATTAAAAGGGTCTTTTCTCCTCATCGTGATTGCTTAGTATTCTGAGAAGTACCTGAGTATGTTCTTACAGAATGTTTGTTTAAGCAAAGCCTCCAGGATTGTTCCAGAATCTCGAGAGTGTCACGTTCACGCCAAAACGCGTACTCGAGTTCAGTTGCCTCACTTGGAGGAGCCTGCGTGTCTTACTTTCCCCAGTGGAAAGTAACAGCACTTTCTTGATGCTGTTATAAAGACTGAATGGCCAAATAGGTCTCTTGGTCTCTGCCTTCTTTCTAGAAGGCTGGTATACCCAGAAATGTGTTGACATTGGCATTTTAAGGACAAAGGACCAGCAGTTCAATGTGACAGCATTGGGGTGACATCTCCCAGCACAGGAATTATAATCCAAGTGTGGGTCTTGGAATCAGGCAGGTGGGGTTCAGATCTCCATAATTTTATAATCTTGGGCAAGTTGATTAAGCTCTTCGTGCCTCAGTTTCCTCCTCTGTAAAATGGGTATGATAATGCCCACTTGGTGGGGTTATGGAGAGGAACAAAAGAGCTGGCGTGTGAAAAGTTCTTGGCAGAGCTGAGAGCACAGTACACGCTCGGGAAATGCAGCCCTTTCGAAGCAGCCGGGTTGTGCTCCTGCTGGGGGCTGGCACTGCCTTGCTGAGAGCTTTGCATTGGCTTCCCCTTGCACTTCAGGATCAGTTACAGCTGTGGATTCGCGGCAACGTGAGTGCCTGTGCGAGGTCCATCTTCATCTTCGATGAAATGGATAAGATGCATGCTGGCCTCATCGATGCCATCAAGCCTTTCCTGGACTACTATGACCACGTGGACGGGGTCTCCTATCAGAAAGCCATCTTCATATTTCTCAGGTACATGCCGGGCTGGGACACGATGGAGGAGCTCTGGGCCCGAGCCTGGGCGCCTCGGGGGAGCCCAGTTCTCAGTCATCGCGCTTACTTTTGCAGCAATGCTGGAGCGGAAAGGATCACGGACGTGGCTTTAGATTTCTGGAGAAGTGGGAAGCAGAGGGAGGAAATCAAGCTCAGAGACATGGAGCATGCCTTGTCTGTGTCGGCCTTCAATAACAAGAACAGTAAGTTCATGAGCCCAAGCCCCTAAGTTTCAATCCCTGCATCCCCATCCCCAGAGCTGGTTAGGAACACAGTTGCTCAGTGCCCTCCGCAGACCCTTTCTGAGCCGAGCCTCCATTAGACATCCCAGGTGACCATTATGGACATCAAAGCACTATTTTCCTTTTTAATCCTCGCCCGAGGATAATTTTTCATTGGTTTTCAGATAGAGGTGGCGGGGGGAAGAAACATCGATGTGAGAGAGACACGTTGATTGGTTGCCTCCTGTACAACACCAACCAGGGCCCAGGATTGAACTGCAACCGAGATATGTGTCCTTGACTGGACTTGAACTAGTGACTCTTTGGTCAACAGGCCAACGCTCTAACTGCTGAACCAAACTGGCTAGGGTGAGAAGTGCTTTTAAAAAGGGGGGAATGGGGAATGCCCAGCCATTGTGTCTCAGTGGAATGAGCATCGTCCCATGCACCGAGAAGTCACCAGTTTGATTCCTGGTCAGGGCACATGCCCCAGTTTCGGGCTTGATCTCCAGTTGGGGCATGCAAAAGGCAGCCAATCTGTGTTTCTCTCTCATCGTTGTTTCTATCTCTCTCCCTTTCTCCCTTCCTCTCTATCTAAAAAATCAATAAAAATATATTAACTAAAAAAAAAAAATTGCCCTGGCCGGTTTGGCTCAGCGGTTAGAGTGTCGGCCTGCAGTCCAGAGAGACCCGGGTTCGGTTCCCACTAAGGGCACGTACCTCGGTTGCAGTTTGTCCCCGGCCCTGGTTGGTCGTGTGGGTGGCAGCCCCTCGATGTGTCCCTTTCACGTGGATGTTTCTCTCTCTCTTTCCCTCTCTTCCTCTCTCTCCCTCCCACTCTATCTGAACAAAAAAATGGAAAAATGTCCTCGGGTGAGGATAAAAATAATAATAAAAAAAAAAAAAAATTAAGAAAGGGGAAACTGTTGGTTGTGGAGCTCCTGAAGACGAGTTCCTCTTTTCCCCAGCTCTGCTGTTCCTTTGTCGAAGAAAGCAGGTGGTTGAGCAGGGACAGCTGCTGTGGGCGCTCCGAAGGAGGAGATGGCTTGGGAGGTCCCTTTCTTTCTGCGCGCCGCCCTAGAGCTCTGGGGTGCTGTGCCCAAGACTAACAGCCAGACGGTGGCAGAGCCCTTGTTCTGTACTGGGCACTGTGTGACCCTCTACCTGCATCTTTCCTGTTATCCTCACAGTAACCTCATGGGATAGGAGCTATTTACTACCATCCTCCCCCCCTTTTTTAAAAAATCCTTACTCAAGGACACTTTTCCATTGATTTTAAGATAGAGTGGAAGTGAGGGGGAGAGAGAGAAATAACAATGTGAGAGAGACACATCGATCAGCTGCCTCCTATACAACCCCAACCAGGGCCAGGGATCAAACCGCAAGTGAGGTACGTGCCCTGGACTGGAATCGAACCTGTGACTCTTTGGTCTGTGGGCCGACGCTCTAACCGCTGAGCCAAACCAGCCAGGGCACCGTCCCCATTTTACAGTTGAGGAAACCGAGGCTCAGAGAGCCCTAGCTGTTTACCCAAGTCCACAGTCTGTAAGGTGTCCCTGTTGCAGAGCCTGAGCTTTAACTACAAGCTTACTGCTGTGCCAGTGGATCACCCACGCTAGGCATTGAGCCCTTGGAGGTGGCAAGCCACCGTGATGGAGTCTGTCCTGGTGGGTGAGAGCTGAGTCGTGCGGTTGACTCTTACCATGCAAGTCTTTGCCCTGCTTGGTTTATTCTTGAGATTACAAAGCAGAAGTTCTCCTGTGAAATAGACTTACCAAGAAATTCATACTTCTGTAGAGTATGGGATATTCTTTGTCAATTCATGCAACTGGAATATTACCGATAAGAGAGACAGAATGCTGTGTAATACGTTCAGTCATTTTCTAAGCATGCCAGACGTGGACACACAATGGGAACAGCCCGAACACTGCAACAGGCCAGGCCAGGCGCCTGAAGCCACGGTACAGGTTACGAGCTTCGGAGTTGGGCAGACCTGGCTTACTGACCATGGCCGTGGGCAGATAGCTGAACTCGCACTCATTCATTTGACAGATATTTATTGTGCAACGACTAGGTGTCAGAACTGGTCTAAGAATGGCACACACAGTGAACAAAAACACAGATGCTTACTGTCAGGGAGTTTACATCCTAATGATAACAAACGAGTAAGGAAATATGTCGGATGATGGGATATGTCTCTGATAGAAGTAGAGATGTATCTTCCTCTTTCCTCTGCCTGTGGGAGAAAGTAACTAAGAAAGACGGTTTGCGGGTGCTGGGATGAGGGTGGGCTGCGGTTTTAGAGAGGTCCGGGAGGGCGCTCTGTGAGATGACATTTGAGCTGACCGAGGAGGGAGGGAGTGGTCCGTGTGGACATTGGAGGGAACAGTATGGACCAGAGCTGAGGTGGGAGTGGCCTGGGGTCACTCTGGCTGGCCCAGGATGAACAAAGGAGGAGAGCTGGCCCTGGCTGGTTTGGCTCAGCGGTTAGAACGTCGGCCTGCGGTACGGAGAGACCCGGGTTCGGTTCCCGCTAAGGGCACGTACTTCGGTTGCAGTTTGTCCCCGGCCCTGGTTGGTCGTGCGGGTGGCAGCCACTCGATGTGTCCCTTTCACGTCGATGTTTCTCTCTCTCTCTCTCTCTCCCTCCCACTCTATCTGTACAAAAGGTGGAAAAATGTCCTCAGGTGAGGATAAAAAAAACAAAAAAACAAAAAAAACAAAGGAGGAGAGCTGGTTAGATAAGAGGGGAGACAGGGTGGAGGAGCAGATCGCAGACAGCTGGGGCACCGGTGAGGCCTTGGGTTTGACTCCGTTAGGGGAGGGAGCCCCTGGAGGGTTTCCAGCGGTGACACAGTCAGATTCAGCGTTAACAGGAGCTGCCCAGGGGAGAAATGCTGGGGCTCGGAGCAGCGGGTGGCGGTGGGGGCAGTGACGTTGTTGGGTTAGGGTGTGTTTTGAAGGTAGCAACGATAAGATGTTCTAACAGATTGTGTGTAGAAATGAGAGAGATGGATCAAAGATTTGGTGTAGCACTCGGAAGGGTGGCGCTGCCTTCTGGGAGACGGACTGCAGAGCTCAGGTCTGTGGGGAAGCTGGGAGGTGAAGACAGGTGTGTTCAGTGAGGGTGACACACTGGTGGCATCCAGGCAGAGATGAGCTGGTCGCTGGACATTACGGGGGAGTTTCATGGGTGTCAAGCTGAGGGTACAGAGTGGGGAGGGTCCGTAGATGCTTTCTAAAGCCACGAGACCGGGCTGGCAGGTGTGGCTCAGTGGATTGAGCATCATCCCATGGACTGAGAGGTCCTGGTTCAATTCCCAGTCAGGGCACGTGCCTGGGTTGTGGGCTCGATCCCCAGTAGGGGATGTGCAGGAGGCAGGCAATCTGTTTCTCTCTCCAATGTTTCTCTCTATTAAAAAAATCAATTAAACAAAACAAACAGAGAAGTAAATAAAGCCAGGAGACTGAGACCACCTGTTCTGCCAGCACATTCTTCCTGGGTCTTCATGTGGTTGGTCCCTTGTCCAGACTGCCTGGAGGTCACCTCTTCAGCTGGGCCTTGCCAGACCACCTGGCTAACTACCCTGCTGCTCTCCTTGCCTGATCACTGCGTCTCATATTCACAGCCCCGGGCACTATCTGAAATGGTCTACTTACTAGCTTGCTGGGGGGCTCCCGGATTGAACCAAACGAGGGCAGCATCCTTGTCTGCCCGGCCCTGTGCTTGATTCCCAGGGCCGAGCGCCTGGCACACATGAGGCCTTCGGGGAGGAGCTGCCCACTACTGCTCAGGGGTTGGTTTTGTTCTTTCCTGTGGACTCAGACTCCACCCTGGCACTTAGATATGTACTGAGCGCCAGTCGTGTGCAGAGCGCGGTTGGCCAGAAAAGCAGGAACTCCGCTTGTGACACCGGGACGTGTGATAAGAGGTACATTGGTCTTCATCCCTGTTCCTGGCACGGGGCTCCTAAAACCCTTGGATTTATCTTAACTGATAAGGGCCATAAGGTACATTCATAAACTACTTTCAACCACAACCTGAGTTTGTGTTAATGAGGTGACTTGGAAAGCACCTGAGGGCTGGGGCTGGTTTCTAGGGGGACCAACCATGTGATTAGAGGGTTTGGAGGGAGGCTGACTCCATCATGCCTATGTAATGAAGCCCACATAAAAACCACAGAGGACGGGGTTCCAGGAGCTACCGGGTCAGGAACTGGTGGAGGTGCTAGGATTGTGGTTGAGAGGCTCTGTCCTGTCCCGGGCCTCGCCCTCTGAGTCTATTTTTTTTTTCAGTTTCAGTTGACATTCGATATTACTCTGTATTAGTTTCAGGGGTATAGCATAGTGGTTGGACAAGCATATACTTTACAAAGTGCTCCCGAGTATTTCCTGTGCCCACCTGGCCCCATACACCGTTACCACAGTATTATCGACTATCTAGGAGTCTCTCCATCTGGCTGTTCCTAAGTTACATCATTTTATGATAAAACCGGTCACCTAGTAAGCGCCCCATCCCTGAGTTCTGGGAGCCCTCTAGCAAAGCAGTCAGCCCCAAGGCCCTCGAGCTAGTCGGTCAGAAGTGCAAGTGACAACCTGGACTTGCGATCGGTGGAAGTGGGTGCCGAGCCCTCCACCGTGGGATGTGGTGCTACGTCAGGGAGACAGTGTGGGAATGGACTTGAGCTGTAGGACACCAGCTGGGTCGGAGAACTGCTCGTGTGAGTGGTTCTCACGTGGGAACTGGCGGCAGAGCGGGATGAAGGTGGGAGAGCACAGCAGCTGAGCGAGAGCTGAAGTGCGGGGCGTGGTCCAGCAGGCGCTGAGTCATCTGGGCAGCAGGCTGGGTCAGGAGGCCCTGGAGTCCTGGAGGGGGCGTGACTGGGTGGGGCAGCCACCCGAGGCCCCGGGATTTCACGTTCTTACTCAGAGGGTCCTAGTTTTTGGTCCCCCAAATAGTCTGTCCAATACAGCCGGCAGCGGGTTTCAACCCTGTTGCTTATCCAGTTGCTGAAACTCCAGTGAGTCGAGAGTTTCCAGAATAAAGGAGTCTGGTCCCTCCCCGGAGCTCCGCGCCTTTGCTTTCTCTGAATCTGTGAGTCGCTGCCATTCCCTCTCTGCCTCCGCTCGGTCCGGGCCGCAGGCACGAAGGGGTGGCGGGCCTCTGTCCCACCTCAGATCCTTGAGTCACCCCTTGAGAGGTCTCCCATAGCCCAGTGTCATGAAGGTGCCCCTTCCCACTGTCACGTCCCCTGCCTTTGCTTCTGGAGAAGCATCGCTGCTGGCAGGCTGTATCTCCTGCCTCGCTGGGGAAGCTCCCTGAGGGCAGGTGCGGGCTCCGCCTCCAGGCCTGGCACCAGCCCACAGCAACGCCGCTGGGTGCACTGGGCATGCTGGGTGGACGGTGCGTGAACAGCGCCTTTTTCCCTCCCCAGGTGGTTTCTGGCACAGCAGTTTAATTGACCGAAACCTCATCGACTACTTTGTCCCCTTCCTTCCCCTGGAATACAAACACCTGAAGATGTGCATCCGAGTGGAAATGCAGACCCGGGGCTATGAAGTTGATGAGGACATTGTGACCAGAGTGGCCGACGAGATGACATTTTTCCCCAAAGAGGAGAGAGTTTTCTCTGACAAAGGCTGCAAAACTGTGTTCACCAAGTTGGATTATTACTATGACGACTGATGACACAGGAGTCGTGGCCATGCTGGAGGAGAGAACTCAACACCCAGTCCTTTCCGCGAACCCCGTCCGCCCTGGGACCGGAGCCCACGAGTTTTCCTGTCTGACCGGACAGGCACGTCCTGGGCAGCGCTCACTCAGCGGCCTGCAGGCCGTCACCTGCCGACGGTGGCCCGGAGCAGCCCGGAGCCTTCAAGGAGGAAGTGGCTGCTCCCAGCCCACTCGGACCAGGGCTCATGATTTTTTAAAAATCATGTTTTAATGTCAAGTGTTGCTGTTGCAAGGAAGGATGAAAAAGTTTTACTGAAAATGTGATAACTTTATTTAAAATGGTTTTTAACACTCTGAGAAACTCTTCAGACTCTCAGTTGTTGGCTTTGTGTGGTTTTTCGAGTTCCCGTCATTGTGACGCACACCGTGATGTCTGCTGCAGAGAGCCCAAGTCCAGAGCACGTGTTCGAGGGGTGAGGACCGAGGCTGAGCCGTGACCAGATCCGTCACAGGACAGCCATCTCAGGCAGCAGTGTTCCCTGGAAGGACAGGGATGGAAGGGGCGTGGGCAGATCGGAGAAGCCGTCAGTGGGCCCCAAGGGCTCTCCTCTTGGTGGCACTGAGACACTTGGGACGTTCCCCTGAAAGGAGCGGACTGCCAGCCCGTCCCGTGCCAGCTCTGCCGGGAGGCCCTCTGCCTTCCATTCCCGAGAGCCCTGTGCTGTCTGGCAAGTTTTGCCATGTTTTTTAGAAGCCTCACTCATTTACTACTACTTTCTATGTTTAATTAGCACTCCCAATTCCTCCTAGGACAGTTCAGCTGCCCCTCCCTTTGCGGGTGCTGAGAACTGTTTTTATTAAGCCAACAGCTACCATTTTACAATAAAACTAATTTCTTTTTTTTTTGTTCAGATAGAGTGGGAGGGAGAGAGGAAGAGAGAGAAACATCGACACGAAAGGGACACATCGAGTGGCTGCCACCCACACGAACCAACCAGGGCCAGGGACAAACTGCAACCGAGGTACACATCCTTGGTGGGAATTAAACCCGGGTCTCTCTGGACCACAGGTCGATGCTCTAACCGCCGAGCCAAACCGACCAGGGCAATAAAACTAATTTCTGAATACATTTTTGAAGGAGAAAAACCCTGTGAATGAAGACCTGCAGGAGCAGTTCAGTCCAGGCCCGTCACATGAGATGAACTGAGACCAAGGATCCTGGGACAGCCCTGGCCCCTCGCCCAGCGTGTGGGGTATCGCACACCAGGGTGGGGTTCGTGCAGCTCCTGACACCCGGCCGAGGAGTTCGAGTCTGGAGATGCCAGGCTGGAGCATGGAGCACTGTAGACTAAACATACGTTGTAAAACTTGCGTGTGCCTACGAACAGGCGGGGCTCCCGGCGGCGTGTGTGCTGCAGCAGTGCTCACAGGACAGGTCCCAGCAGGCACAGATGGGCTGGCAGCCCGGCTGCTGGGCTGCAGGACCCCTTTGCCACCCGGCTACCAAGCCTGCACAGAGGCTCTTCCAGGCCACCAGGCCCGAGGACAGCTCTAAGTATTGGGAAGTCCTTGATGTTGAGCCGAGGCTGGCCTCTCGTCATGTCCCCAGGTGTCACAGGCTAGGGCTAATCACTCTTTTGAAGACGGTAGCACCGGGGGGAACACAGGGGTCCTCTGACTAAATCTGGTAAGTGTAGTCTGTAGGCAAGGCAGTCCGGGTGGGGAGAAACGGGCTGGGAGCCAGACCAGGACAGTGAGGGGAGTGGGTGCGAAGATGGCAGAGAGGTTTTGAACATTCTAGAAAGTCAGGTAGCTCCTCAGCCTGGGAAAGGGACGGTGTTAACAATTTACTGGCAGGGACAGGCCAGATTACGGATGAACGATTAAGCTGGGATCTGGCTAACAACTAGAACTTCATTCCCAGTTCTGGGGGGAGGACGGCAGGTAGTTTCCAGGTCTGAGGCCTGCTCAGGTTCAGGATGTCAGCAGTCTCCCCATGTCTTAATGTCCTTCCCCACCTATCTCGGGAGAGTATGTTAGAAGTCCTGCTCCATCTGGTACTGTCTCCATCCACGAAAGTAAGACGGGTGAGTCCATCATCTAATCCCGCTGAACTGCCGGGATGACCGCTGTTCGGTGAACACCGGCTCCGGGCTGCAGACTGCCGACCAGCACGCGCAGGGCGCAGTGAGCCCAGCGCCTGAGGGGCTGAGCCTTTACTCCAAGCTTAAACTTTCAGTTACCAAATACATAAACTAGGGGGAAAAATTGCAAATGACATCTCATGGGATAAAATTTTGGCTTTATTATTTTATATTCACTAGGTCAATTGAAGCTCCTGTCTACATCTTGTGGGGTGGAGGAGGCTGGGCCACGGTCAACGTGGCCTATTCAAGTTACAGATCAGTACCAGCAGTCCAAAGGTGGCCGACACGTGTGGAATTAATTGCATCATTGTAGACAAAATCTTGCCTGTCTCCTCCTGACCAGACACCCAAAAAGTGATAAACAAAATGTTCACTTAGCTCCAATTTGACCATTTGTACTAAAAAATTTAAGCCTCGCCTTGGCATTTTTAAAAGACTAAGCGTGATCCTCTACAAGGCCTTCCATGTCATAGAATATTATTCCCCCATCTACATAAAAAGGCTGCACGCCCTGATTACATCTGTAGTCCCACTGCAACTACGAGATAAACAATCCACGCTGGCTGGACTCCCCTGATTTCCCAATGACCAGGGCAGTCCAGCCTGGCACTGCCACAGAGGGTGTCGTTATCAGACGACACCAACACCAGCCACAACTTCACACTAAGCCACTTTGTTCTGTAATTGTGAGCATACATTACCATTCATTTGACAATAAATTATACCATTTGTTTTTAGAGTTTCTGATAAAAGAATAATTATTCCATTTGTGTCCTTCCTGTTTTAAAATAAGAAGTGTCCTATATTTGTATTCTCTAAGATTCAGAAGTAAAAACATTATAAAAATATGCACACCCTTAAAACTCGTAGCGTTTCCAGCGTACCACACTTCACCTTGGCAGTGCCAGGCCTGCAAGCTAGCCACTCGGTCCGGGCGCCTGGCATCCACAGAGACGAGCGTGCCTCAGTATTTCAAATGGTTCTGTGGAGTAAAGCCAGAGCCTGGCCCACATATAAACTGTAATAGACAAACGTCTCACCGTGGCAACCAAGGGCTCAAAACCAAGGCTCTCTGTCTGGTTCAGCTGCAGCGACGAAGTGGTGGGGGCATGTAGTGGTGACGGACATTCAGTAGCAGTGCTACAGGGAGAGGTGAGCGGAGGACACCACAAGCAGCCAGAGTGACAGCCAGGCTGCCAGGTCCTGTCTGTCCTGATCTGCGCAGAGGCCGAGGATAGAGCCCCACCCATGTCCTCCCACAGGGTGCTGCCTGCGCCCGAAGGTGCCACCAATTTTAACTGAAAAAATACTTCGTCGGGGGATGCTCTCTGTATAAAGAAAGAACCAGAGCAGAAAAACATTCTCAGCAGGTGAGAACGTACTGCTCCCAGCTTGTGGCAGGCCCCTGAACCTCAGCCGCGACAGTAGCTCCCGAGGTCGGAAGAGTCCTGGGTCTCAGTGTTTTCAAGGCACTTCTGTCCAGGTCAGTAAGGAGTGTGGTGTGGGGACGTGGATTTAAAAAGTTCATCTTCAACTGCAACAGTTGCTACCATGTTGCAAAATGACAATTGCACTTGGCAGATTAGTGGCTTGTCAAAAATCAACTCTTAGAAACTTCTAGATCTCGAAAATCCACAGGTGCAAATGTGCAAACCCTGATGGGGTCTTCAAAGTGCTTCCGAAAGGCCAGGTCCTGGCTTGCTGAGCTCCCTGCCGCCTCCTCCCCTGCTCGGGTGGGGGGTCACTGAAAATCCAGCCGCGACTGCACAGTCTTGCAGCCCCGGTCTGAGTAGATTTTTTCATCTTTGGGAAAAAACGTCATCTCATCCGCCACTCTGGTGACAATGTCTTCATCTACAGCAGAACCGCGGGCCCTCATCTCTGCCCGCACACACATCTTCACGTGTGTGTACTCCAGAGGCAGGAAGGGGATAAAATAATCGATGAGGTTTCTGTCTATCAGTCTGCTGCGCCACAGGCCACCTGCAAAACAAGACCCTGTCGTGGTCACCTGGCCGAGCTCACTGCTCTTACAGGGCCCGTTTTGATCCTAACCCACAGTACACTCTTTGTATCTTTACCCTTGAAATTCCCGCTGTCGAGTAAGCAACTAGCCTGATAAAAGGGTCAGCTGGCCACCCTTCTCCCGGGCTCCTAGAACATGTAAATCTAAGAAACATCCAAACCTACAGAGGATTTTGATTTTATTTATTTATTTTTTGTTAATCCTCACCTGAGGACATTTTTCCATTGATTTTTTTAGATAGGATGGGAGGAGGGGAGGGAGAGAAAGAGAGACATTGGTGTGTAAGAGACACAGCAATTGGTTGTCTCCCACACAACCCCAACTGGGGCCAGGGATCGAACCTGCAATCCAGGTATGTGCCCTTGACCAGGAATCAAACCCGTGACCTTTGGTCCAAGGGTTAATGCTCTAACTGCTGAGCAAAACCAACTAGGGCTATTTTTCAATCCTCACCCAAAGACATGCTTAGAGAGAGGAAGGGAGAGAAACATTGATCTGTTGCCTTCCATTTACACTCTGACCGGGGACTGAACCCCCCCCCCAGGTGTGTGCCCTGACCAGGAACCAGCAACCTTTCAGTACATAGGACAACACTCAGCCAACGGAGCCACTCCGGCCAGGCTATAGAGAATTTTTATAAAAATGTATTTGAGCCATCCTGGCTGGCATGCTCAGTTGTTAGAGCACTGGCCCGCATACTGAAGGGTCGTGGGTTCCATTCCCAGCCAAGGGCACATACCTGGATTGCAGGTTCGATCTCTGGCCCAGGTCAGGGTGTGTGTGGGAGGCAACCAATAGATGTGTCTCTCTCACATAGATGCCCCCCGACTCTCTCTAAAAATGAATGGAAAGCCCTGGCCGGTTTGGCTCAGCGGTTAGAGCGTCCGCCTGCGGTCCGGAGAGACCCGGGTTCGGTTCCCGCTAAGGGCATGTACCTCGGTTGCAGTTTTTCCCCGGCCCTGGTTGGTCGTGCGGGTGGCAGCCACTCGATGTGTTCCTTTCACATCGATGTTTCCCTCTCTCTCTCTTCCTCTCTCTCCCTCCTCTATCTGTACAAAAAATGGAAAAATGTCCTCGGATGAGGATTAAAAAAAAAAAATGAATGGAAAAATATCCTCAAGTGAGGATTAACAAAAAAGAAAAAAAAAAAAAGAAAGAAAACAACTCTGCTGGCAGGGTTAAGGGCTGGTCACCCTGCAAGACTCACTGTGCTTATTGTTGAAGACGCCGACAGACAGCACGTGCTCCATGTCCTTCAGCTGAATGTCCTCCCGCTTCCTTCCTGTCCGCCAGAACTCCAGGGCCGTCTCAGTTATGAGGTCCCCACCTGCGTTGCTGAGTTTGCCCAAGAGATCAAGATTAAAACCACATATTAATATTTTGTCTAATCAGGAAATGTACCTGCTCTAACATTTATCTTAACTAAGGAATATTTACTATGTGCTACTAGACAAAGAAAAAATAGTGCCTGCCCTCAAAGACCTTAAAATCTTCTTTTTCAGAACTCGCTATCACTTTTCACTTTAATTTTTTTTTCTTTATTGATTTTAGAGAGAGAGAAGAAGGGAAAGGGAGAGAGAGAAATATCAATGAGAGAGAACATCAATTGGCTGCCTCGTACATACCTCCCACTGGGGATTGGGCACACAACCTGGGCATGTGCCCTTACTGGGAATCGAACCAGCAGCTTCTTGGTGCATGGGTACACACTCAACCTCTGAGCTACACCTGGCTGCTATCACTTTATATAGAAAAAACATTTTCAGGTAATGAAATTGCCCATTATCAGCAATTATTCTAGAGCTTTTAAAACTAATTTGAGAGAAAAAGAAACATCGATTTGTTGTTCCTCTTATTTATGCCTTCCTCGGTTGATTTGTGTATGTGCCCTGACCAGGGATCGAACCCACAACCTTGGCATATTGAGACAAGGCTCTAACCAACTGAGCTACCTGGCCAGCAATTATTTAATTCATTTTCTCCTGCCCCCTTTGTGTCACGCTGACACTAGCAACCACGAAGTAAAAGAAATCAGGAAGTCACTTTTGCCAGGCTAGTACTTTCGTCCCTGGGAAACAGAATGCTGATGGACCTCATTCTAGCCCTGGGAGAGTGAAGGACAAGTGTGTCCCTTAGAAACCACTTCCCGCTAACCTGAGAAAGATGAAGATCGCCTTCCGGTAAGACACACCATCAATCTGCTCATAGTAGTCTAGAAACGGCTTGATTGCGTCGATGACCCCAGGGTGCAATTTGTCCATCTCATCAAATATGAACACGGAGCTTGCACAGGCACTCACGTTGCCCCGAATCCACTGCTGTAACTGGTCCTAGGCCAACCATAAAAGAAATAGGATGAGTGGCTCAAAGGACAGCCAAGGGGTGCAGAAGGGCTACCCGATCCCTCCTGCTCTGAAAGAGGAAAAATCAGAACTCCCTGGGGTTTAACAAAGAATTCTTAGAAACTGCACCCTAACCTCCATTCATTGGGTAACAGCTTTTCCAAAATGTTATCTATTGAAAGTGGAAACTGCCCAGCTGGTGTGGCTCAGTGGTTGAGCATCGGCCCATGCACCAAGAGGTCGCCAGTTTGATTCCTGGTCAGGGCACATGCCCAGGCTGTGGGCCGGATCCCCAGTGGGGGGCATGCAGAAGGCGGCCTATCAGTGTTCTCTCTCATCAATGTTTCTCTCTCTCTCTCTCTCTCTCCCTCTACCTTCCTCTCTATCTAAAATCAATAAAGAAAAAAAATTTTTTTAAAGAAAAGTGGAAACTAACAGAACAATGCTAAAATGCAAAGAAGTTTTTTCCTAACTCAAATGATGTGCTAAATATCACTTTTTAAAAGAGTAAGATACACAAATGTTTATCATTTCATTGTTAACCCCCCCACAACCTTCATCTCACTGTGGACTGAAACCTCAGCTTTACCAGACACACTGAGGAGCAGGAAGCCAGAGGAAGACTTGCAGTGCCGAGGGCCAATGCCTTGTCCTGGTGCCATAAACAAGGGAGGCAGACGACATTTCACAAAAACCTTTTGTTCCCAGGCTTTCATGAAGCAAACAAAAAGACACCCCAGCAACAAGCCCTCAACCCCAAAATGTCAAAGGCTCCAGAGGCACCCTCACCTCTTGCTATATCTCTAGAGATTAACGAAAGAATGTAGAAAGCAAGGAAATGATTTCCTCTTTGGCGATCTGTCCTATCTTTGTCCGTGTGGCATATAGCTGCTTTTATTTCCTTCTTCCGTTCAGTTTCTTTTTTAGTTCAGTCCCCGCCTACCAGTAGGCATGTTAACCTTTATGAGGATGACATTCATTTAAACAAGAACCCTACCAGACAACTTAATATAAACTCAATGTGGAAAGAATATCTCAAAAGGAGACACCTCATTTGAAGAAGGAAAGCGACACCAAGGATTTGAAGGATGGGAGGGTCGCAGAGTCCAAGCCACAGAGGAGGAAACCACCCCTGCGGTCTGCATTGCTAGATGCAGGGGCAAGGCTGCCTCCCAGGTGGGAGCCTTCAATGAAGCCGTGTCCAAGCAAATCAGTTATCATTTAAGACCACTCCACTTAACCAAGGGACGTGATGGGGATGCTGGCCATGCTCATTCATTGCAGAAAGTGGCCACCTTGCGAATTGGAAGTTAGGAGACTTGGGTTCAGGTTTTTGATTTGCTACCAGGTTACCAAGATTGTAAGGAGCAAGTCACCTCACCTCTCTTGCCTCCATCCTTTGTTCTGTGGTTAATCCTCACCCATGGATATTTTTTCCATTGATTTTAGAGAGAGTGGGAGTGAGGGTGGGGGGAGAGAGAAGGAAACATGGATGTGAGAGAGATACATTGATTGACTGTCTCCCGCACACACCCCAACTGGAGCTGGGATCAAACCTGCGACCCAGTATGTACCCTTCAGTGCACAGGCCAACACTCTAACCACCGAGCCGCACCAGCCAGGGCTTGCCTCCATCTTTTAAGGAAATATCTATGCCACTGTATTATCCTGGAATCCAGTGAGGAAAAATTGGAAGAGAGTTCTGCACATGGCCAAGGATTACGAGGTGGGTGTGCCTTAACTCAGCAGGGCCCGTGCAATTGCAGCAGGAAGAAAAGTGCAGGCTGGACCCAGGGTGAGTGGGCAGGATGACAGGGTTCCCTTGCCTGGTACAGTTTTGTCTGCTGCTCGTGAGGGAAGTGCAGAGTTGATACAAACAGGTGGACAAAGTTACTCTTCAGGCCTTTTGCATGAAGATTTTCAGCCACAATTTGGCTCACAAAATTCTTGCCCGTGCCAGCCCAGCCGTGTAAGGAAAGAGTCAGTGGTTTCCTGGGATTGTTGTTGTTCGTGAAGCCAGTCAGCGCCTTGAGAATCACCTCTGTGGCCAGATGCTGCCCAAACAGTTTCTCCTCCAATTCCAGCTTGAGGGCTGCAGGAGCCCACCCAAGAACAGAGAGAAAAATGCACATTAAACACACACGAGGAAGGCAGCACTTTGCCCAGCTGGCCAGAGAGGCACAGAGTCGCAAGAGGTCCAGCAATGTCTTTGCCAAACCCCAGGGCCGGCACTGAAGCGAAACCACAGATTGCAGTCACATGCTGCTACTTGCAAGGAAATGCACCAGATGGATGGCTGTCCTCCTCAACACTCAAGTGTCTGATAAAGAAGCTAAATAAGTCCGTTCATCCAAGGATTAGCCTTCTCTCGACTGAGCTGCATAAAATTTCCCCAGCCACCCCTGCTGGCTTGTAAGAAGACCCAGGGCCAAATGCGGGCGTTCTGGGCAGACTCTCACCTGAAAATTACTTAACTGGGTGGTCATGGCGCAGAAGGACTGACCTTGCTACTTTCACTTTCTGTTTCTTCTTAGTGTAATCCCAGGGAGTCTGAACACTTAGATAGGAACCTGGGCAGGGCCCCATGAACTGCAGAATGTCTCAGAAGTGCAGACAAAAAAGGGGCCACTTACTAAACCTAACAAGCTCAGAGGAGGCTTGACTGGCAGGCCTTCCAAACTCAGAGGTGTAAAGTAACCACATAGGATGAACCGAAATAAAAACTTCCTAACTAAAAGCGAGTCATGGCAGGTAGTCATGTCCTAGACCTACATCTTCCCTAATAAAGGTCACTCTTTACCTTAACTGAGCCTGTCTACTGTCTTTTTGCATCTACAATAACCCACCTTTGGAATGTCAGGATAATTTCCTTTTTCCAGACCCCTCAGGGCACAACCACCACACCAGAGACCACAAAACCCCCCCAGTGTTACTGTTACCCTGTTATCTGTTGACTGTTAACTATCCTATACCCACCAAGGTATAAGAAGTTATGTGTCTAATCCGTTTTACTTTTGATCCAATGCCCGAGATTTCCCCGCCTTGCTTTCTCCCGCCTCCCTGAACTATCGCCAATGGTTTCATGTACGTCTTACCCTTTGGTTCTGATGTATAAAATAAGTGATAAGACTGCCATTTTCCGGAGCATTTTCTCAGTCCATTGAGATTTTGCTTCCCGGTAATTATCAGCTTGGCTCAAACAAACTCAAAAATTGTTACAGGTTTGGACGTTTCTTATGTCGACAGAAGGCTCAGCTTCCAGGGCTGGAGTCCCGAGGGAGGCCCCTGTCCTCTCTCCCTCCCCCCACCTCGGGTGAGCGCCGTGGGGCCGGTCCCGGGCGCCCCTCGCGCCCCTGCAGGCCGACCCGTCCTACCGGTCTCGTTGAGCCGCTGCTTCTTGGGGCAGCACTCGGCGAAGCGACAGTACAGGTCCGTGTAGGTTACGAGGCCGGTGAGGACCGACGCGGCCCCGAGGGCGACGCTCACGCTGATGGGGTCGATCGCCGCCACCGTCCGGGCCGCCAACAGCAGCCACAGCGCCGCGCCGCTCCCGAGCCGCCCCGCCGCCGGCATGGCCCCGCTCGCTGCCGCCGCGGCCTCTGCACCGCGCGCCCGACGGCCGAGCGATGGACCGGACTTCCGGGTCGCGTCACTTCCGCCCGTAGACCCGCCCACACCGGGCCGCGGGCCGGCGAGGGGCGTGGCTCTGCGCCTCCATCTTTGTGAGGGGCGCGGAAGGCGGCCAGCGCCTCGGCTTCGTTGGAGCCCCACGCCTGGGTGTTTCGGATGTTTTCTCACGAGCTTCCCGTCGACCCCACGCTCTGATTCCTCGTCTCCCTCCCCTTCTCCTGGAGTCATAGTGAGCCGCTGGCCCCCGCCCTCTGGAGCTCCCAGGCCAGGGGCGGCGGACCCTGGGCCAGTCTGAGCGGAGGGAGCACACGGCCGCGGAGCAGGGAAGGCTCTTGTCTGCACTGGGCGCGAGAGTTCGCCAGGAAAAAGTGAGGCTAGAAGGTTCTCCACAGAGAAGGGCCGGCCGGCCTGCGGGGGTCGGCGCAAGGCAATGACACTACGGGCGCACGCTGCTGGGAGTGAGGGGGAGCTTTGCCGGGAAGCAAACGCCCTCGGTCTTAGGATGCAGTCCCATTTATTTGCAGATAGGGACCCCCAGGTTACAAGTGGATGAATGTAAATGATTTCCTTGAGATGGCGTCTCTGTAAACTATGCAGCCTGGTTTTGTCTCTTGCTTTCTTCGGGGGAGAGAGACGTCGAAACTGAAAATAACAGACATTCTTGAGTCCTAGGACCCATTAGTCCACCGGTGCAAACCTTATTCACATGCAAATGAAGCACTCAGTTGCACCTGGACTGGCCAGACAGCGAGAATGCATTAACCCAAGGTTACAAATCGTCCATCTTCCAGCCCCCCAGCCCCACAGAGGAGAGTATGCAGGACGTGCCATTTGGGGAACTGGAGGTACTTGACGTGATGAAGACTGGTGAGAATGAGGTTTGAGAACTAGGCAGAGCCGGGCAGGAGAAGACTTGCAAATGCTTTCTAAGGAATCCGGCCTCTGTTCTGGAGGACAGTAGAGAGCCAGAGGAGGTTTTACACAGAGAGCAGCATGGCCAGATCAGAGGTCACTGGCTGCCAGTTCAGTGAGGAGGCTGTTGCAGTGGCCCAGGTAAGCTCAGCCCAGGCTTTGCTGAAGTTGGTTCATCCATCCGCCAATCTGTCAACATATTTTATGAACCCTGGCTGTGTCAGATCCAGTGCTATAGGCTGGAGCTTCAGCAGGGACCAGGGCAGCACAGTCCCTGCGCTCACGGAGCTCTCAGTCTACAAGGGAGACACGGGCAAGCAGACAGTTTGTGGCTGTTGTGGTCAGTGCTGTGACAGGGGACACGAGAGCAGACACCTCCTCCATACCTCACCAGTCCGAGTTGTAGACCAACGAGACAGACCAGACTCAGACTCCGAACTGGGTTCAAATTAAGAGAGCTTTATTAGCCGCGCGGCGACGGTCCCATCCTACACGCAGAGGAGAGAGCAGCCCCGAGCTCAGGGGGAGGGTTGCTTATATAGTTTTCTTAGCCCCTGTTAAGAAACTGGGCTAAGGGTCTGCGAGCAAGCAAGCATGTACAGAAGCGGATATCTGCAGTTAGCCATTGTGTCTGAGGGGTGAGCAGTTCTATTTGCACAATGTAGTGGTCAGCTCCGGCTGATGCCTATCTCCCTCCTACCTAGTTCCTGGAATCCTCTTAGGGTCCAGGGGAAGGTCTACCAGGTGGGAAATTTTTAACTACAAGTTTTCACAGTACTTTAGCTGTCTGTTCTTTTGTTTCATTGCCCTGTTGTCTGTCCTTCACAGAGTAGGCCTCCTTTTTCGCCGCCATGGGCACCTTGGCTGCCTTGGTCTTCAGCGCCCTGGCTGCTGCCTATGGTACAGCCAAGAGTGGCACCGGCACGGCAGCCATAACTGTCATGGGACCAGAGCTGCTCATGAAGTCCCTCATCCCAGTGGTCATGGCCGGCATCATTGCCGTCTATGGCCTGTAGTGGCAGTTCTAGTTGACAACTCCCCGAATAAAGGCAGTGGTCTCTACAGGAGTCCTCCCACTGGGTGCTGGCCTGAGTGGGCTGGCAGGTGACTTCTCCACTGACATTGTGGGGGACACCAGCATGGTGGACATGGCCCAGCAGCCCGACTATTCGCAGAGGTGCTGGGCCTGTACAGTCTCATCATCATCCTCATTCTCTCCATAAAGTAGCCCCTCTCCAAGCCCACCAGCCACAGAATATGCTATAACGACCACCCCTCCTCATTCCAGAATGAACAGCCTGACACACACACAGGACAGCTACCCCCCCCTCACCCCCCGCCGGTAGTTAGATGGTTTTGTAAATGCACAGTGTTCTAGGGCCCGTCATCTTGCCCCCACCCACTCATGGATATCTGGGTCCACTCATCACCTATCCAGGTCCCAGGCCACTGAGGATGCTGGCCTTGGGCCACACCCAGCCATCTACCTGCCCTAGAGTGCTCTGTGTATAAGCAGTTGTCATTTTCACTGGATGTTTATTATAAAGATTTGACCCGTTTGCACATCTGTGGAGCAGCCCTCCCATCTCCCAACTATACAGTTATCTTTATATTTATTTTTTTATTTTTTTGGTACGTGCCCCTAGCAGGAACTGAATCCGGGACTCTCTGGTCCACAGGCAGACACTCCAACCGCTGAGCCAAACCAGCCAGGGCTATACAGTTATCTTTAGAGTGTCACCTTATGGGGTTACTGTGTGCCCTGAGACTTTTTAGATAGAACCACCATCTTCCAGCCCTGGCTGCCAGGCCCGAGCTATGTCTAATAAAATTCTCAGACGTGAAAAGAAGAAGACAGAGTGGCCCATGGAAATGTAAAAAGTGCTGAGTGATAGTGCCAGGAGGGAGGATCGCAGGGGTGGGGTGTGCAGGCCTCGGAGGCAGGAGCTCTGCCCCGCCCCCCGCTGGGGGAGAGAATCCGATCGGCCCAACCTGGGTCAGGTGTCTCAACCTGGGATCAACCAGCCACCAGCAGGAATATAGTGCCTGGGTTGCCCTCCCCACCCTGATTTTGTGCTGTTTTACATACTTGTATGACATTTTGTCCCCTTAAGAGTGTGACTATTTCCTGATTTGTCATTTGGTCATTGATCTTGAAGTTGGCCGCAGGCATCCATGGAGAGTGGGAAGATGGCCATAGGGCAAAGGGCTCAAGACTCCCCCAAAGAGCTCTCTAGGTGACCCAGACACATCTGAACCCCAACAATTACCCTACCCTGACTGCATTAGGATCCTACACTGCTCTCTGTCCCCATTCCCCCTCTTTTAAGAAAGTTTAAAAAATTATAAAACAACTTAGTTCAAATTGACAAAAATCAGTATCATATAGAGTATTGTAAGAGAAATTACCTCTGAACGGGAACTTCCAGTACTCTGAGGTCTGCGAGCCGTATCTAGAAATTTCCACACTGTGGAAAAGAGGGCTGCAGAATACGGGCGGGGAGGGGTGCAGAGCCTGGGTCTGTCTCTTCGCTGGTTGCTGTAACTGTCCTTCACGTGGCTGAGGGGGTTTCATGTTTTCTTTAGACATCGTTAGACACCAAAGCCCCTGCCGGAACTCCCTGACTCTGCGTGGATTCTGCCATTTTGCTGGTACTGATATGGCTCTTGATGACCCCTCCATTAGAACCATTAACTCCCCGCACATGAAAGTCTGTTATGAAGGGGAGTGTTTCTGGGTGTTTAGATCCACATTTGGTTTTAAGGCTGTACGTTTCGGTTTCAGACACTTTTGGAGCCCGTGGCGGCTGCCATCTTGCATCACTGTCGCTGGGAGGCTGATCCCTTCTCCACTCCCAGCTGTCCTCTGGTCCTATGCTGTCCCATCCCCTTTCGCTTCCTACCACTGCTCTCTTGAAGCGTTGCCTGCAGTGTTTGAATTGTTCATCAGAAACATTCAGAACCACCAGCCTGACTTGGAATGGTGCTGTGCTGCCAAAAGGCCTCTGCCCTTTGGTTTCGCGGCTGGCTGAGATTTCAGGACCAGAGACAGCGCGCCCTGGTCCGCACCTTTTCTCAGGCAGCTCTGAATTTGGCTAGGAAGAGGTATCCTCTTGCTGAGGGCTGGGAAAGTGCCCAAGGCTGGTGAGACCGGCTCCTGCCCAGGGAAGCACGAGGGAGCTGGTGAGCTGCTGGTCTGACTCAGAACCGGTTCAGATCCCCTCATTTACTACCTCTGACCTTCAAAAGGTCACCAAAAAATGACAACAGAAAAAGTAAAAAAAAAACAACAAACCTTAGATAATTCTTAATGCCAGCTGTTTACACTAAGCCCTGTTCTCATCCAAGTCCTATCAGTGTGTATATTGTACAGACAGGCTCTCCTGTGTACAGAAGGGTGCATGGTATTTGTTCTCCTTTTCTTGTTACCTTGTATTCAACAATACAGAGTTTATTTCTATGAAATCGTAATGGGTGTGGGCTCACAGGCTGCCAACCTGCTTAATAAGCAAAACATAATGGGGAGCCTGGTCGGTTGCTAAGTGGTTTGAGCATTGGCCCATGGACCAAAGAGTCTCGAGTTCCATTCCGGTCAAGGGCACATACCTTGGCTGCTGTTCGGTCCCCAGCCCTGGTCAGGGTCGTGCAGGAGGCAACCAGTCGATGTGTCTCCCTCTTTCTCTTTCTCTTTGCCCCTCCCACTCTATCTGAAGATAAATGGGGAAAAAAGTGTCCTCCGGTGAGGATTTAAGACAAACAAAAAACCATAATGGGGAAAGGAAATTGATGTACAGAGGTGCCCAAGGGCCAAGGAAGGGACTTGAGTCAGGACCCGAGTGCCCTCCGCTCTCCCTCCTCGCTCACCACGTTCCCTCTGCGGATCTGATTCGTTCCTCTCTGCGCAGTACCTGGCTCTGTGTGTGCTGCTCCAGACACCCCGGGGAGACGGACCAGGCACTGAGGCGAGTCTTCTCCCCCCTCACGCCCTCAGCCCCAATTCTGAACTCCCAGGGGAAGGGTTTGATTGGCCC